CGATCATGCAAATCACACCCTCAAGAAAATGAAAAGTTCACGTGTACAATGGGTCAGTTTTTACGCACAGATAGCTTACTGTTTAAAGACAGAAGCTTTAGTTGTACGCTCAATCTTATCGATCTCGTGATGCAAATCCTAACGAACTAAAAGGGATGAACACTGAAGCCTGGCGTTTTCGAATAAACAAAGTAAGATGTGTCATTTTTGGATGCTCAAATCCATCATTAGTTAGAAAAGTGTGACGTGCCAAACCAAAATACAGTCACTAAGTTTTTTTAGTATTTTTAGCTTCGATCATGCAAATCACACCCGCTAGAAAATGAAAAGTTCACGAAGACAATGAGTCCATTATCACGCAAAGATAGCTTAGCGTTAAAAAAGAAACTTAGGATCGATCTGTTCCACGTTCAATTACATCGTGTGTGATAAAAGTTGGACGTACAAAACCGAAATACTGTGTTCTTATTAACTGAGTGGTAGGGCCGGAAGGAAAATTATTTGGCTCGGGGTCATGACCTATGGACCGAGCGCAGCGAGGCTCAAGCTTCATCACCCAGAGCCAAATATTTTCTCCACTGGCCCCACTAAATTCAGTCAATAAGCATTTTATCATATGACCACTGACCATTTTCAACGTTAATGGGAAGCGATAGACGGGCATGCGAACGCACAAAAAATATGCAATTTTATTTCGAGTAGCCTAGAGCAGGAGGGGAATAACCGAAAACACACGTGATCTAGATACCTAAAACGCCGTGACAGCGGAAGTTCGGAAGGTTGAGAAAAGTGCGGAGTGTAATTCATTATTTTTGTTGTTTCATTTTGAAAGAATCAGCCACATTGTCAACATCTTGGTAAGTGCGATTGAAAATCTTTCCTATTCACTCGGTTTTTATCAGCCTTAGTCATTTAGTAACTGTAGAGAGGTAAGGCTCTCATGGCAAAGCCCAGTAGCTGCTTTTTCGAGCTTTGTTTTTGCAATATGTAGTTATGTCTCGTTTCGAGCGTTAGCCCTTCATTTAAGCGGTTGATGGCGCGATTGAATCGCCACCACAGTGAAATAAATTCGTTATCCAGCGGTCTTCTCAAATCTCTGTAGCTTTATACCGTTTAATTTATCCTCATTAACTAATGTTATTGAGTATCGTTCAATTTGAGAAATTGATGATCATAAAACTAAAATCAGACCTTTATTTATGTTGTGGACTGTCCTCGCTGAAGGAAATCCGTGGTGCTTGATCAGGTGGTTTTCCAGTGGCTATGACTCTACATCAGCTATCAACTTGAATCTGTTTAGGAGGGTTAAACGAACGATTCAGAGATCGCACTAGATTCGAGATGCCATATTTCTACTTGTACACAAGCGTTTCATTGTCGAAATACCCTTCACTTAAACCTTTGGATACTAACGGCGGGTTCTGCGGTACATATTTTTCTAAAGCCGTAATCTGTTTCTTTTTTTTTCCGTTTAAGCCCCAGAGTCTCGCACAGGAAGATAAGTTGTGAGTCTGCGCGCTCACTAAGAGACATGGTTTTATTTTCTCAGAGGAGTGAAACTTTCTTAAATTCACTGTTATTGCATTCATAGTATAAGGGCATCTTACCGTTGAACGGATGCTTTATATTTCCACCGTTAAATTTCTTTCTTCAAACCGTTAAGGTTTTATACAATATATTTCAACCTCAGTAGTTAAGATATTGTTAGGCATTGTTTAATTTGAAAAACTGATGGTTTCAACAATCACGTGATCAAAAACTAAAATCAATCCCATATAAAGATATATTCATAATGCAGAATGTCCTTTACTGGTCCAAGTTCACGTCTCGAGAAAAAGCAAACGATTAATTCATGATAGCGTCACGGGTTGTGTGACTTATGTGTTAAGTTATGAGCGAAGTTATGAGCGTTGAACACGTTATTAAGAATAGAATGGGGAGCGAAATATGGTCGATTTATCACGAGAAATATTTCAAGAAATCAACATTTAACACGTAAAATCAATAAAAGTACACACATCTTGTGTGTCCATATTAGTTTCTGGCGATTTCTGCCGTTTTAAGCTTACTTTGCCATCGCTGTTATTCCCATCCCCACAGTGACACCTCGCATTAATCGAGCGTCCCAATCAACCAAGCAGACAGCTGTCCCCGTGATAGGTCTGCAATTCCTGATCCATAATAGGAATGCACGATAGAAGCGGCACCAGGATCGTGCATGCTATACCACTGGAACATACCACAGAAACCTTTTCCAGCCGCTCGAAAATTGTTGATGACTTCCCTTACCACAGTACACTTACCAGTTCCCCCCTTGGCCAGTCCCTAAAAAGTTATGACCCTTACAAGCCAAGCATACAATCTCCGCCCGTCCGTGAGATAAGTGAACGCTCATATTGACGACATGCTAATAACCACCAAACTACTCTACTGAATATTATGGAGAACGAGTTGTCACAGGAAGAAAAATTATGAAATAACATAATGAACATTACTTGACGATCTGCGTGCTCAAGGAATTGGCTGAACTAATAGAAATTTTATTGTCCTTTATAATGAATTTCCGGTGACTAAATAGGCATTAACACCAACATAACTGTAAGGGGATAGATTAAGGGTAATTCGGCCAAATCTTGCAGGCTTTTCTTTTTATCCAGAAGTTTAGTGACATCACCTTGGAAAGGTAAATACAATCGACGGTAGGGCATCATGTGGACAATTGTGTGATCATCTCGGTAATAAACCAAAAGAACGGTGTTTCAATAAAATCGAGCGAGGGAATTTCCAGTACAAACATTTTGGACGGTACATTATTTAAACTGTCGAATAGTTCTCGCGAAAACTAGAGCAATTTTCTCATTAATCATTCTTGTATTATTCATGAATAAGAAATAAAATAGAGTGATCCTAATGGTCTGCATTGCACATACGTTTTGACAGCCGGTTTAACAAAATCAATAAACTAAGAATGGGGAAACTAGAACTTATATTGTAGACTATTCCTTTCTGATTCCTTACTGATTTCTTTTGATTTCCATCGATTTTTCATTAGCTGAATTTGTATTTTATTCTGGTCTTTTTTGTTTGTTTTTAATCAAAGCGAATAATGCCTCAAAAATAAATCAGCGAGTCAGGCTATGACACATGGCAGCAGTTTGTTTCCTTTGAGAAAAGGTAGCTTCCTTACCTCACAATACATGATATAACCAAGCCTCTTATTCTTCAATCTTCTTCATTGATTGAATCAATGAGCTTCATTATCAATTAAGAAGGGACTCTCTTTTCCCATTTCTTTCTGTTTCCGGTTTCCTAATTATCTGCCTTAAGAAAGTTGAGACACTGGGAAGAGAAATTTTTTTAGTTTCCTCATACGATTAGAAAGACCAGAAGTTCTAGTTCGATCACAAATCCTGTGACAAATTCTTAGTAACAATGAAACTTTTTGATTTTCAAATATGAATGTAGTTTAAGTCAGGCACAACTGTCTATCACCTGAGTGAAATGTGAACAAAGGTAGAAAAAACTGAATATTAAAACCAAAACTCTTAGTAATTTATTTTTTTTTATGCGATTATCATTTGGTATCTATTTGTTTATAACCTGTATGAGCTTTCTTAACATTGATTTATTATATTCCAATTGTAACTGTTTTAAAACTACAATTAATTCCATTGTCATTCCTTTAAGCCCATTTGCGGATAATCTTTAAGTTCTCTTTGAAGTTTGTAAGACTTTTCACTAATCTTCAGACTGCTCCAACATCGAAGATGTACATAATAGATTTTTGGCTTTTAACGTTCACTCACAAAAAGATGAAAGACAGAAATCGGTAGGAATATAATTCAACCTAAGGGCAAAATGTTTCTTTTACATCACGTGACGAGATGAAGGACCAAAAAACTTAGGTCAAAGTATAATATATAGATTTAGCCAAGCCTAAAAGCGGAGCTCGTATTTTTTTTCCCCGCACGTCTCAAGGGCACAACGCCTTGCCCCGGCCAGGACTAGAATCCGGGTCGCCCAACTCGCAGCCCAGTGCACTGACCACTGAACTACTGGACAAAGCCGTGGCGTTGGCGTGCCCGCGGTACAGCTGACCACGCATGTTAAAAGAAGCACCTTGTACGGTCGAACGGTCGTACATCCAAATTTTTTCGGCTTGATGGGCTACTACTATTTTGCATAATTTTGGGGCTACGCTCTGCGAGCTCCGCTAATATTTACGACAGAGACCCAATGAGTTAAGTCTAGTTTCTACGGTTCGTTTACCTGTGAGTTAACAAAGTTGATGTACTTCAACACGGAAGCTGAGTCAGTTCAGTAGTAAACTTGGTCTGCTGTCATTTCAAATTCTTCTCCAATAATTCTGGAGAGCCTTACGCAGATAACACTGACTGTCAGTTCCAATATTGGAATTGAAATTTCATGTATGGGACTTGCTTCTTCCATGACAAATGCACAGTGAACTTGGTTAATGACATTTTTCAAACGGAAGTAAACGACGGCTGAAATTCATTATCATGGCCAATTTACATTGTCAACTCAGTTGGTAAAGCCAAATAGTTTTTTAATACCCCACCAAAGTTTCTTCAAAAACTTACCCCGTTGTTTATAGAAACTATGCATGTGGAAAGTTCTCATTGCAAAAGTTAAGATAAAGTCTGTCAGTTTTTTTTATCTTTGTCCAATGACTTTAAAGTCATGTAATGTTCTGCAAAAATCCCAACTTGAGGAAAATGAAAGGTGACCAACCGACTTCTTCACTTTTTTGTTTTTTTTTTGTTTTTAAGTGGATATTGTGAATTCTAACACTTTCAGCTTGTTACAAATAGTTTCCGGGTGTAATCGACCCAGCCCGTTTTTGTAACTTAACATGTGTGTTCCTGTTTGAAGTGACTCGTTATTAATCAAGATTATCGACCATTTAGTATTGTGTTACTAAAAATAATGTTTCCCTGATAACAGGTGAGGATTGCAATGGAAACCTAACAGCAGAAGCCATGACACCTTTCATGAGCCTCGCCTTATTTGTTGCCCTGTTCTTGCTCAACTCAGATCGCATTCAGAAAGCCATTGAGATATGCAGCGAATGTTTGATTTTGCTAAATGGCACCGATCAAAACAGCAAAGACCAATTTGATTCAGCACTGCTACAATTTTACAGCGACATCTATACCATTCTTTTCAGCGCTTATCGTCATATCTCTGACTACATAAGTGCGGAAAGATACGGAAGGAAACTGTTTGACTTATACAGAGGGTATGGAATTATGCTTTATAAACTTGGCGAAAGCCTAAAAGCAAAGGAATATTTTGAGAGGGCCCTTGCCATAACAACCAAAATTGGCGACAGACGAGGGGAAGCATCATGTTATGGAAACCTAGGTACTGTGTTTGCGTCGCTTGGCCAATACGACAAGGCTAAAGAGTATCTCCAAAAAGCGCTTGTCATCAGAACTGAAATTGGCGATAGAGAAGGGGAGGCATCTGACTACGGAAACCTAGGTACTGTGTTTAAGTCGCTTGGCCAATACGACAAGGCTGAAGAGTATCTTCAAAAAGCGCTTGTCATCAGAACTGAAATTGGCGACAGAGAAGGGGAGGCAACTGACTACGGAAACCTAGGTACTGTGTTTGCGTCGCTTGGCCAATACGACAAGGCTGAACAGTATCTCCAAAAAGCGCTTGTCATCAAAACTGAAATTGGCGACAGAGGAGGGGAAGCATCTGACTACGGAAACCTAGGTACTGTGTTTGCGTCGCTTGGCCAATACAACAAGGCTGAAGAGTATCTCCAAAAAGCGCTTGTCATCAGAACTGAAATTGGCGACAGAGGAGGGGAAGCATCTGACTACGGAAACCTAGGTACTGTGTTTAAGTCGCTTGGCCAATACGACAAGGCTAAAGAGTATGTCCAAAAAGCGCTTGTCATCAGAACTGAAATTGGCGACAGAGAAGGGGAGGCAACTGACTACGGAAACCTAGGTACTGTGTTTGCGTCGCTTGGCCAATACGACAAGGCTGAAGAGTATCTCCAAATAGCGCTTGTCATCAGAACTGAAATTGGCGACAGAGGAGGGGAAGCATCTGACTACGGAAACCTAGGTACTGTGTTTGCGTCGCTTGGCCAATACGACAAGGCTGAAGAGTATCTCCAAAAAGCGCTTGTCATCAGAACTGAAATTGGCGACAGAGGAGGGGAAGCATCTGACTACGGAAACCTAGGTACTGTGTTTAAGTCGCTTGGCCAATACGACAAGGCTAAAGAGTATCTCCAAAAAGCGCTTGTCATCAGAACTGAAATTGGCGACAGAGGAGGGGAAGCATCATGTTATGGAAACCTAGGTACTGTGTTTAGGTCGCTTGGCCAATACGACAAGGCTGAAGAGTATCTCCAAAAAGCGCTTGTCATCAGAACTGAAATTGGCCACAGACAAGGCAAAGCATCATGTTATGGAAACCTAGGTACTGTGTTTAGGTCGCTTGGCCAATACGACAAGGCTGAAGAGTATCTCCAAAAAGCGCTTGTCATCACAACTGAAATTGGCCACAGGCAATGCGAAGCATCATGTTATGGAAACCTAGGTACTGTGTTTACGTCGCTTGGCCAATACGACAAGGCTGAAGAGTATCTCCAAAAAGCGCTTGTCATCAGAACTGAAATTGGCGACAGAGAAGGGGAGGCAACTGACTACGGAAACCTAGGTACTGTGTTTGCGTCGCTTGGCCAATACGACAAGGCTGAAGAGTATCTCCAAAAAGCGCTTGTCATCAGAACTGAAATTGGCGACAGAGAAGGGGAAGCATCATGTTATGGAAACCTAGGTACTGTGTTTACGTCGCTTGGCCAATACGACAAGGCTGAAGAGTATCTCCAAAAAGCGCTTGTCATCACAACTGAAATTGGCGACAGAGAAGGGGAAGCATCATGTTATGGAAACCTAGGTACTGTGTTTAGGTCGCTTGGCCAATACGACAAGGCTGAAGAGTATCTCCAAAAAGCGCTTGTCATCAGAACTGAAATTGGCGACAGAGAAGGGGAGGCAACTGACTACGGAAACCTAGGTACTGTGTTTACGTCGCTTGGCCAATACGACAAGGCTGAAGAGTATCTCCAAAAAGCGCTTGTCATCAGAACTGAAATTGGCGACAGAGAAGGGGAAGCATCATGTTATGGAAACCTAGGTACTGTGTTTACGTCGCTTGGCCAATACGACAAGGCTGAAGAGTATCTCCAAAAAGCGCTTGTCATCACAACTGAAATTGGCGACAGAGAAGGGGAGGCAACTGACTACGGAAACCTAGGTACTGTGTTTACGTCGCTTGGCCAATACGACAAGGCTGAAGAGTATCTCCAAAAAGCGCTTGTCATCAGAACTGAAATTGGCGACAGAGAAGGGGAGGCAACTGACTACGGAAACCTTGGAATTTTGTTTAGAACTGTTGGTGATTTTGAAGCTTCGGAAGTATGCTTGGAGAAAGCTTTATTCATATCCAGAGATATTGGAGATGGAAGAAAAGAGTTTGAAATCCTCCGAGGCTACGCCGTTTTGTATTTATATCAAGATAAAATCAAAGACTCCCTGTCGTGTCTTCACCTGTGCATTAAAAAGTATGAGGAGCTGAGATATTTCTTGGGCGCCAATGATCAGTTCAAAACATCATTTCTGGAGGACACAGGAACATTCCCCTACAAGCTGCTTTGTACTTTGCTTTGTGACACCGAAAATGCTCGGGATGCTCTTTATGTTGAGGAGTTGGGTCGAGCTAGAGGCCTATCAGACTTAATGGCAGAGAAGTACTCGGTTGAAACGCACATCTCTGCTAATCCACAATCCTGGTTTGGCATTGAGGACATTTTGAGAAAGAAAAGAAACTGTACTTGTCTGTACATTTCTTATTTTCAGAATCGTCTGCATTTGTGGATCTTGAAAACAAGTGGAGTCCTTCACTATAGAAGAGTATCACCAGAAGAGAATCTAGTTCAGGCTGGGTTACCCAAAGATTTGTCTTTGAGTCAATTTTTGGATTATAATTTCCGGAGTCTTGGTATTTTGCCCACTAAAGATTGTGAAGATCGGTCTTTAAATACGATTAAATTGCAACCTCTCTCCCCCGCGCAAAAGAGCTCAGCAAGATTGCGACTCATGGAAGAGGACGAGGACGAGGACGAGGACGAGAAAGTGATTTCAAGTCTATACTTGTGTTACAAAATGTTCATTGCCCCCGTTTATGATTTGCTTGATGAGCCTGAAGTCATTATTGTTCCTGACCGCAGGTTGTACAAAGTTCCCTTTGCTGCCCTGAGTGAAAAGGAGGGAGCCGAATACTTGTCAGAGACTCATAAGATCCGTATCATTCCTTCGTTGACAACACTCAAGAACATTCAAGATAGTCCAGAGGACTATCACAGCAACACTGGTGCCTTGGTAATAGGCAATCCCAAGGTTAATTGGCTGCAACCATTGCCAGCTGCAAGAAAGGAAGCGGAGATGGTCGGACGACTGGTGGGTGTTCCGCCTCTAGTTGAAGAGAAAGCAACGAAGCAGGCGGTACTTGAGCGGATAAGTTCAGTGAGCTTGATACATTTTGCTGCCCATGGTAACGCGGAAAGAGGGGAAATTGCACTCTCCCCCAATCCCTGTCCCAACAGTCAAACCGCTATCCCACCGAAGGAAGCTTACATGTTGACGATGGCTGATGTCTCACGAGTGAAAGTCAGAGCTAAACTGGTGGTACTTAGCTGCTGTCACAGTGGAAGTGGAGAGATAAGAGCCGAGGGAGTTATAGGAATTGCCCGTGCGTTTTTAGGATCCGGTGCTCGCTCGGTGTTGGTTGCGCTGTGGGCCATTCCAGACTCAGCAACAGAGCAGCTGATGAGTCGGTTCTACGAACACCTCATTGAAGGTGGAAGTGCCAGTGAATCCCTTCATCAGGCCATGAAGTGGATGAGAAAAAAGCCCTTGAACAAAATCTCTGAGTGGGCTTCGTTTACGCTGATTGGAGATGATGTGAGACTCGAGTTTGACAACCAGCGGCAAGACTCGGTGAGAACAGGTATTTCATAAATTAAAGTTAAATTAGATGTGAGGATGGTTATGACTTACTGGTCGTTGTTACCTTGAACATCAAGGCTAGTTTAATATCTATATATATATAGATATATATGTACATAAATATAAATATATATATTTATATATATATATATTTACGCACCCTTTTTTTCCTTTTTCAAGAGTTACTATCTCCGCTCTCTGGTGTAAAATATAGAATCTCACAGATACCTCTCTACCAATGAGACACAAGTAATAGCCAATTATTTTTATATATCGTGCTTGGTGTAATTGTGTTTGCTTTATATCCAAAATATTAATTGAGGTAATAATAAATTGGGTTATTTCAAATTTTTTCTTGCAGGAAAAAAGACCCCGATAGAGTAAATAATGACAAGTACTCGAAGGGAACAGAGTTAAAAGACTTTTGGATGGATAAATTAAATAGAAATAAGTAGAGAAAATACTCTTCCAGTATTTCATCGACATTAAAAAAAAAAGAGCTATCCCAGGTAAGGGGAGATTTATTCCAATTTTTGCTGCTTTCTTTTCTAATATTCTCAGGAGGCAGTAATGATTATGTACTCAAAAATTTTTTGTTTTTCACGCAAAAATTATATTAGACACGAAACAATGTTGACCTACGTAAGACTTTTGAGTAAAACGAATTCAGTAAAGTTAAGACAGTAGTTTAAGTATTAAACAAACCACTAAAATCTGGTTTAATTTTTGTGTTTTCAAGCCTTTTGTAAGGTTTAGTTATTAAGAATACCTTCCATATTTCAAGAATGAATTTGATGTAGCATCTGAAGGGATCCTTGTCAACCACGCCGCTGTTTTTGTCAATATACGGATAACTGCGGAGAGATTCGTTTATACTTACTCAACGCCTAGCAGGAGTCGTGCCGGCACGTAAACACTTTTTAAGTGGCGTTAAGATAGGATTCGCAAAAGGAGAAGCGTTGCGCATCCTAAAAATAGGTCAGAAGCACTTCACATTTAAAAAAATCGTACAGAGCTTAAAAATACGACTAAAAGAGGGGAAAGAGTATACCTGACGAACTTCTGGAGAAATACGTGTCTGAAGTTATCTGCTCCAGTAGAGAAGGATCACCTCCGGCTTTACAAAAGCTCAAGAACACGCTGATGTGGAAATGTCACATTCAAAATCACATCGCCAAAAAAACATTAAAGTATATCCTGGCCAGAACTGATCTTTGGAGACGGAAGTTTAAAATCGCTTCCAGATGGCGGGAGTGTCATGCGGGCATGTCAATACTTCAATTTTTAACTGGTCACTTTCCTCTTGTGCTATGCACCCTGCGCGAAGCTTGTCGACTCTTAAATGCAGAAAAATCTCTGCCAATTGGCTATGAGTTAGATCTCTGAAATATGGTAGTAATCATGTCTTGGAATAAAGAGATCATCTGTTGTAGAATAAGTTGATTCGTAACACCCTGTATGTAAGGAATAACAGCAAAACCAGTCGCTGGTTCCCATTCATCAAGAGCGTTACTATTTGTAACTGGTTTTTGGCAGTTACGGAGAAAAGTTTTTGTAGAGCCATTTGCCCATTTGGATTTTAGTGAAGAGCGAAACAACGTCGAAAGATACTAATTCTTCACAAGCGTTAAGAGTTTTATCTTTTATGAAATCCGCAAATTCGCAGGAATTTTTGACCGTGTAATCAGTATTCCCAACAACAGGCGACAAAATTCTCGCAAGATAACCAGAAATTGCATAAGTCGGAGAATTAACAAAAGACACAATGAGTCTCAAAGGAATTCCCGGTTTATGAATTTTATAAAAACGTGGACATAAGCCGTCACTACTGTCTAACATTTTGTACGTAGAGTCACTAATTTTACCAGCTTTTTGCAAATCAAGCAACATTTTGTTTAACTTTCTTTGAGGTTTTACTGGTAGGATCAGAGTTTAAGACAGCATACGCACTCTTGTCATTAAGCAGAGTCAAAGCTTTGTCGTGATATTGCTGTTTGTCCATAACCACAACAATTACCCTTGCCAGCAGATAATACGAGCCTGTCTGGATCCTTTTTGAGAGCTATAAGTACATTGGAAACATCCTTTTGAATGTTTTTGTGGGGAGGTTTAGATCGTGACGATGGTGGTTTGCTTCCTGACGCTTATTTACACCTCGTCAGAAAAAAAAAGGCCGCTAATTAGTGATCATATAAAAGGACCTCTTGTTACAGCGTCTAGATAACCCCTGATGAAGGCACTAGACAGGAGTGTCGAAACGTTTGGTCTATGAATTGTAACTTCGGTTACATTCATTAAATCTGCAAACCAGAGTAGCATCAAACTATGTCTGATTGGCCAGCTGGTTGCCGTGTGAACTTTAATGTATTAGATAAGAAGGCATTTGCTTACCTTGGCTCCTTTGATCACTGAACCGGTCGGCCTACGGTTGATGAAGTTCGGGATCTTTTGGTCGGTAACAGCCCATGAAAGCGCGCTTGACAAGGTGATACAAGATGTCCTGCTGATTGCGCCACTTCCATTGATTTGGAAATTCCGTATTCCCTCGCTATCTCTCGATTGTTGTTAACAGCTTCAGCTTCAATTACGATTTTCAACTTAAAGTTGAGATAGTAAGAATGACGGCGAGTGTTGGCATGATTGTGGTGAATGTAGACTTCGCAAGATAATGTTCACCAGGTGAAGTAAATTATTATTAATTATTATAAGAAGTTATCATTTGCAGTTAAGGCTGAATTAATCTGCTGCAAATTTACATTTATAAAATGAATGAGAGACAGTTGATTTCAATTTTATTCATATTTTATATTTTTAATATGGTTGACGTGGTGGGCATGGTCACCACATCCACCGTGTAGGAGTGGCCTCTCCCTCCTAAGTTGAAACATTTTTTTATTTCTTTGATAGAAAAAAAAGAATGAAAAGTTGAGGTAAGGCAATGCACTTGCAAGGAGATGTTACCCAACTGACAACTATACTCATAAGATCTAAATAAATTACCCTTTTGCCCTAAAATCCCTATTTGTATTATCATAGATTTTTATCTTTCAATGCCTGCTTATGGCAGCTTTTGTTGGATTGGAAATAAAACAGTCTTTGTATATGTGTATGTGCTGGAAACTGTTGCAATGGACCTTCAAAGGGTTTTTTATTTGATCTGTAATAAATTTTAATTTCTTTGTCAACAGTCAAAAATAATCATATACTATCACCTTTTTTTTCCTTCTCACCTTTAAATCTTTGAAAAATTATTTAATCTTCTATTTGAGAATTGTTAAGAAATGGAATTTATTTTAATACAAATAAGGATTTACACTGTTTAGTAGTATCATTTGTGGCTCTAATGAAACAAACAATGTATTTTCACAGTTGTTAGCTTCCAATCTTTGTTGGACAGTAAGAAAAAATTTTGGTATGTATGAAATGGAAGCATCATACCATGGAAAATGCTTGAACAATTTTTATCCACTTGTCGCGTTGATCAAAAAAATTCACTAGTTCACTAGACTCACATGTTAATTTTTGTTTGATGCAATAAATCTCATTTGTGCACACTTTCCATCGAATAATCTCTGTTTGTTACAGATTGAAAAATATTTCTTGGGCCCCATACTGTTTCTAAAATTTAACTTCTTTTCGCATGAGCATGATAAATAAAAGATTTTCTAAATACTGTGGAAAATGGCATCTAAAACAAATGTTAGCCCAGTTTATTGTAATGTCAGTTGTTGTTAGGTTACTATTTACTTTACTTCACCATTCCACTTCTTCTTCCCCTTCTCTTTTTTATTATTTTTCTTGTCCACATCTATTTTATGAAAAAAACAATACTTGGTTTGAACAAGTTTATTAAAAATACTGCACAAGTTCTATAACTGTATTAGAAAAGGTTTCTCTGATTGAACAATATTGAACCAAGCGATGGTAACATTGCAAAATTAGGAACTTCTACTTTACTGGAAATGGTCAAAGGAAAAACAGTTTGCTAACCAGACATCATTTCTTATTGCTTAGACTTTAACAGGAAAGTTGTATTTCAAGGAGGCTATGATGTCACTTTTCCAACTTCCTACAGAGGGGAAAGACTATTCACTGTGTACAGTTGCATGACATTTTGTGGAATCATAGCATTATAGAAGAAAAGAAAATATTACCGTTGACACTTACCTAAATCACTGCCTTCAGGGGGTGGTCCTTCAGGTAGATCTTCATCATCTATTGTATAAAAACTAAACGTATGTAATTGTCAATTTGAAAAAAAAGGTATTTTATTTAAATCAAGGTAAAGTATTATACAATGAGCTAACCTAACAAAACTTCATTGCACAGAGTTTAAAAGTGAAATTGTGTTTCAAGGAGACCATGATGTCACTTTTCCAACTTCTTAAAGAGAGGGAAGACTATAAATTGTTTACAGATGCATTACATTTCGTGGAATCATGGCATTATGAAAGAAAAGGAAAATTTTATTTTCCAGTCAACACTTACCTAATCTCCACCTAAAGGAGGTGGTCCTTTGGGTAGATCTTCACCATCTTTGATATAAATAGTAAACTTAAGTAATTGCCAATGTGGGGAAAAAGTATTGTATTTCAACATTAAGGAACAGATGTGTTGTGAAAATATTTTGTCTAAATTGACCATCTAAGTTGTATTTATGTCATGTGGTTGCAGAATATATTTGTTGAAAATAGCATATTATTTATTATGCATATGTAATCTTACAAACATTTAAATCTTAATCTAGTTTAATAATTGTGGTCTAATTAAGTTAACATTCTGTTGTAAAACTAACACTCACCTTCTTGGTTTAAATGAAGACCATGTGTGAGAATAAATTGAAATGTTTCCACTTTAATTGTGTAAATGAGTTTGTTAGTAACCTGTGGTTATAAAAATCTTATTAAAGTAATTCTATGTAAGTGGTTCAGTGCCTTGACAAAGATTATTAGAGAGTATGTCTGAGTGTTCATTTGAAATGGCAGTTTTAAGCCTTGAATTAATTTTTCAAGAATGATATGCGTCGCAAAGTAAACTGATCTTGACATCCTGACAAAACAAATGCCATAATTTTCACGTGATTGTTTATTCCAATTTAAGATAAGACTTTGTTGAGATATCGTTGTAACAAGTAGTATTGAGATTGAAATTAGAGTAATAACTCCTTTACGTCTGGAAATATATGAAAATCATATACGCGCACTGCGGTGAAGAAACAGATAGAAGCGATCCTCGTAGCTATGAACACTACTGAAGTAGTAGTTGAAATAAGACCTGAAAAAAATTCAGGCCCGTACGGGTAGAGAGTTGCACCGGTATCGCTGAGGTCATCAGCTCAAATCCTTTATTGAGATTGAAATTAGAGCAATAACTCCTTTAACGTTTTGCTTGATTGTGGGAAATGAGTAAAACAAATAACAGCGATGTGCATTCTACTCACCTTCCTCAAAATAGCTCTTCCACTCACCTTTTATCACGGTAAAAGTTGGCGGGAAAATAGTTGCTGCCTGGCATTTCCTTCATCTGGCGAGAAAATCCAAGGTGTTAATTGTTAGAGAGCAAAATCGCTTGTTTCAGTTTCGCGGTCTCATTTTGCCCCCTTATCGTTGTTTTCAGAGGTACTGCCTCGTCTAATCCAGTTGCTTAGTAAGTTTCTGAGCGCCTTCTGCGTTTCTGGATACCAATTATCAGAGATATGGGATGATGTATGTCGTGCTTTATGAGCACTAGCAGTGTTTCAGAGGTGGAGACTGCAATTTCACATACTTGTCCATACATGCCCCAATATTAAACGAGTCCTTGCATTTTCTGGTTGCATATTGTTGGAAAACTTTTTAACGGTTTACACAATCTTCAGTTCGTTCCTTTTTTCGAAAATGTTCGACTTCTCGCTGCAAGCTATTTTATGGAGACCCCCAAAAATTGAAGTTACGGATTGAAATCCATTAAAATACGCGCTCTACTTTTGGGCTTGGCCAAATCTATGCATTATACCTCAAAATAAGTAGACTCATTTGCAAGAATTTCGGAGTTAATGTAATGTGTTTCCTCAGGATGGACGTGGAGGGGAAGTCGACTAAAACGAAGCTTTAGCCAAAAAATGAAATAGGATTAAACGCTAGTAATGAAAGAAGAGATTTGTTAGCAACAATATTTGAGTAAACTAACACTCATATCCTCTAGGCTGTTTTATATAAACAATAAACATACCATTTCTCTCTAAATTAAGAGACTTGCGTCCATATCTCCACTGAACTTTATTCACTTTAATTTTAAATATTTTCGCGGTCAGAAATTATTGTCTTAACTTTTAAGGGAAAATGAAAGAAATCAGACAAAAAACGAATCATGCGTGACGCGAAACTTAAAATCGAATCTCACGATTTTTTTTCTTTCGTTGTTTAGATAGTTTAAATTTTGTTATTCCGACCTACCTGCAGATAGCTTGTTCCGTCATCTGTTACTCCTCCTATTGCCACATCATAGTAACTCAAATTATTTGATGCTACTTCAGCAATACCGAAACCAACCCAACCTGTGGTTCTTACTTGCACCATAAACTCCAGTGTGTCCGCGGACTCATTGTAGTTGTCGGAAACATTGTAATTTTCTTTACCATCAGGCATGATCATGTTGGAATACATGTTGTACATGGACCTACTTATAACAAATAACCGCTGGTCTTTAAACGTGAGTCCAGCATTGGAACAGTATTGGTCGAGTAAGATAAATTAATCAACTACCTTCGCTTTCAACCAATATTGACAGAAAGTTTCCCTAATTTGAAAACACATGTACTTGACTTAACGTTTAAATATGTTGTCAATATATCTGAAGACTCTTAACTTCAGGAAATTTAATCGAGCCATTTCACTGTTTGTTTATCTTGAAAAATGTAGCCTCACTTTGTAAAGCTTTTCATTTTTGCAATCAGCGTCAACGAGTTCTTTCAATTATATGACCCCTACGTTAACTTCAAAATCGACTTGATTAACTCGGCATTTTTAATTTACGTGGGACCGGTATTTGCTCAGGGCACAGCAAAAGGGCAACTAAATGTCACTTTTTTACATCAATTAATTACCCAGCCTTGAAGACCAAGGCAGCATGATTTTTGTCTTCGTTCAGCCACAACGAACTGTCCCTTGGTATTTTCCAACGTTTATCATTGCGTGGAAATATTACAGCTTATTGCGCATGGCTTGCATGTCGTCTGTTACAATCAAGATTGACAGAAAGTGCGTGAGGTATGAAAACACGAAGGTGAAAGTGGCTCATTATTGTTCAGCTTTACAGCCTTAACCTTTGTTTTATTAAATAAATGCTTTTCCTATAAACATTTCCATGTGAAAGATCAATGTATTTAAGCAGCAATTTTCGTTTCATTTACTCTTTATTTAGAGAAAACATTGAAACTAAATTTTCTGGGAAAAAAAAATTTTCAAACGTTTCTTTTATATTTCATAAGCTTTTCAGTGATATATAGTTTTCCAAGTGTTTCTTTGAAAGTAGGGCGCATAGAACGATTTTTCCAAAATTTTTCCTTGTTTCTTTACATTTCGATGTTTATTGCGCAATTTGTTGCATATTTGTCGTCTTTACTTGAACTCTCTCGTCGAGGCCGTACGGCTCATGATCATCAAGGTAGGCAAAGCGCTAAATCCTCTTTTTCCTCCTTTTTGTTCCTCACTGGGGAAAGGGGACGGTAGCCAAACCCCAGATCAAAAGTAAGCAAATTTTTCTCCAATTCCGATATTTATCACTTACACTTGGAATTACTTTGTGAGTATTGGGAAAACTCAGAGTTTGAAATGTTTTCAAATTGTGCCGGCAAACATTAAAAGTGGGAAGTCCAACAAGCTGTGTTTACATACTCTCATCTAAACTAACTAGTTGACCTATGAGAGCGTGTGAACCATCTCAATTATCCTATAACCATCATGAGTTATAAAAGTGTGACGTGCCAAACCGAAATACAGTCACTTGGTTTTTTTAGTAGTTTTGTCTTCGATCATTCAAATCACACCCACTAGAAATTGAAAAGTTCACGAAGACAAGGAGTCGATTATTACGCAAAGATAACTTACCTTAAAAAAAGAAACTTCGGTTGTACTGTGATCGATCTTGTGATGAAAATCAAACCTTTCAAAGGGGTTAACCTGAAATGTCCTGTTGAAAAGAGAATAACACTGTTCATTTCTTATGTTCAATTACATCATGAGTGATAAAAAGTGTGACGTATAAAACCGAAATACTGTTAGTATATTATTGATTGAGTGGTAAGGCCGGACGGAAAAATATTTGGCTCGGGGTCATGGCCTTCATGGTGTGGACTGTCCCACGCTGATATCATAAGAAATCCGTAGTGCTCCATGACGTGGTTTTCCAGTAGCTATGATCTGCACTAGCTATTAACTTGACTTTGTTTTAGGAGGGTTAAACGATCGATTCGGAGATTGCGGTAGATTCGAATTGAATTTCCATTTTCTACTTGTACACAAGCGTTTCATGGTCAAGATACCATTCACTTAAATTTTTAGATTCTAGCGGCGGGTTTTACAGAACACATTTTTCTAAACGCCGTAATCCGTTCTTTTGTCTTTTTGAGCGCCAGAGTCTCCCTTAAGAAGATAAGTTATGACGCTGCGCGCTCACGGACAGATGTTTTAATTTTCTTTAATTTTTTTACCCACCTTCTTCTAAATAGCTGTATGGAATGAGAGCGTTTGAGTGCACCACTCACCTTTTATCACGATAAGAGATAGCGGGAAAATAGATACTGCCCAGTATTTCCTTCACTCGGCGCGAAAATCTTAGCTGGCAATTGTTAGAGAGCAACATCCCCCGTTTCAATTTCGCAGTCCTATTTTGCCCCTTTATCTGTTTATCTCAAGTTTCTGAGCACCCTCTGCCTTTCCGGATAACAACTATTTGAGGGATGGGATGATGTGTGTCGTGCTTTATAAGGGTCCCCCTAAATTTTTTCTCTCAATACCGAAATCCCGACGGTTTACACCAGCCAATCCCGATCCCGATCAAAAACTTTTGTCTGAGTCCATTTCCTTAACTTAAGAGGGCGGTTTCGGTGGATGATGATTTTCTCGACCAGCATTAGTCCGTTGTGAGCTTTGCTCACTGTAAGGCTTAATTTTATCTCTTTTTACTAAAATGATGATAGTTTAGAAGTTTTTAATTTTTGCACGAATAACGTAGGCTAGTCTTTGTAACGACTCTCTTCCGTTTAACCTCGATCACAGACAAACGTATTAATAAACACAGGTCAGTATCAAGGAAACGAGTAACAATGTCAACTAGAGCATAAAACACAAAAGGTGACTGCAGTCCCATAGTTCCTAAACAAAGGAAAGGAAGAAAAATTAACTGAACGCAATTCTAATGTTAAAGCGAGTACTTCTTCTAGAGCGGGAACCTCTTCCAAGGGGAAAATCAGCCTCTCTTTCCAAAGATGGAAAGTTACCATCATCACTCGGCGAATCGTACTCTAATATTCCATCTTGCTCTTTGTCTTGTTTCCCGCTGTTTTCTTGTTGCTCCACGAAGTCAGAGCCATCGTTGTTTCCTGTCTGACAGAGCGCCGACACACCGTTGCGACAAATGTTTACGCCCAGTCGTATTTTCTGTATGACAGGATCATGGCAATTTCGGCTACATGATACCAGGAATCTGAATTTGTAAGATAGTGCGCCGCCTAACGGGTTGTCCTCTTTAAGCCCTCTTTGGCTGCATTTCCAAACTTTCTTGCGCAATATAACACCGTGAAAATTTGATCTTTGTGATGCACAACCAAGTGAATATTCTCCACGTCCAGTTTCATGCAACTCAACAGGTTAAGAGCGTCGTATTGGTATCATTCTGAGACCCGCTTAAGGATTTCAAGGCCGTTAAGCATTTTAATTGACGCAGCAATCTTAGATGCCACGTTACCCTATGGGCAATTGAGATTTTTGATAACTTGGTAATTTCGCTTCTGATAGAATTTTCATTTCCTCGCTGATCAGCTCGACCGCCTCTTAAATCCTAAAAAGCTTGTACGCCTGGTGCCTCTCATGGACTGAGTGATCAAATTCTCCATAAATTCTCGTCAAAAGACATCCCGGTTTTCGGTTTGCTTAAGTGATTATTTCCCGAATCCCGCTCCTCAAAATCGCCGATTCCCGTGTCTCGTTCATAATAACAATCCCGCATCTCGCTTCCTTCTCACTTTAGATTCCCGGATACAAGCCCTCAATAAGCCCAATCACGAATCCCGAAGAACCTATTGGGGATCCTCCTTTATGGGCACTAGCAGTGTTTTGAGAAGTGGAGATCTGCTGTTTCACATACTTTGAAAATATCGTAATATCGTAATATCGTAATATCGTAAGTGACCGGACGTGCCCAATATTAAAAGTGTTCTTCCATTTTCTGGTTGCATATTGTTGGGAAGACTTTTTAACTGTTTGCACAATTTTCGTTCCTGTTTTTGAAAAATTTCGACTTCTCGCTGCAAGCTATTTTATGGAGACCCCTAAAACCTTTACTCTTTATTTAGAGAACACATTGAAACTAAATTTGCTGGGAAAAAAAGAAACTTTAAAAACTATTCTTCAATACTTCATAAAATATCGTAATATCGTAATATCGTAATATCGTAAGTGACCGGACGTGCCCAATATTAAAAGTGTTCTTCCATTTTCTGGTTGCATATTGTTGGGAAGACTTTTTAACTGTTTGCACAATTTTCGTTCCTGTTTTTGAAAAATTTCGACACTGACTCATAGCTGATAACATTCAATACTGGAAATATATAATTGTATTTAAAATTTCACTATACCTTTAATTTCCACACTAATAACTTATTGATTGAACAGTTGAACTAGATATGAAATTTGGCTTTTTAATTTTTGTAATGTAGCCATGGAAAGGCAGTAAAAAAAGAATGAGTTTTGATTTGAGGTTACTGTCAACAAGATCTGGTCAAATTTTCAAACTTTCGTTTCCTTTACTCTTTATTTAGAGAACACATTGAAACTAAATTTGCTGGGAAAAAAAGAAACTTTAAAAACTATTCTTCAATACTTCATAAGCTTTTTAGTGATATATAGTTTTCATGGTTTCTTTGAAAGTAGGGCGCGTAGAACGATTTTCCAAATGTTTTTCCAAAATTTTTCCTTGTTTCCTTACATTTCGATGTTTTCTGCGCATTTTGTTGCATATTTGTCGTCTTTACTTGAACTCCCTCGAAGAGGCCGTACAGCTCATGGTCATCAAGGCAGGCAAAGCGCTAGTTCCTCTTTTTCCTCCTTCTTGTTCCTCACTTGAGAGGGATGGTAGCCAAATCCCAGATAAAAAATTGGCACATTTTTCTCCAATTCCGATATTTATCATTTATACTTGAAATTACTTTGCGAGTATTGAAAAAACTTTGAGTTTGAAATGTTTCCAAATTGCGCCGACAAACATTTAAAGTGTGAATTCCAAACAAGGTATGTTTACATACTCTCATCTAAACTAAACAGTTGACCTATGAGAGCGTGCGAGCCATCTCAATTATTTTATAACCATCATCAGTTATAGGAGTGACGCGCCAAACCGAAATACAGTCACTTGATTTCTTTTAGTAGTTTTGTCTTCGATCATGCAAATCACACCCGCTAGAAAATGAAAACTTCACAAAGACAATGAGTCCATTATCACGCAAAGATAGCTTAGCGTTTAAAAAAAAGAAACTTTGGTTGTACTGACCCTGAGCTAAATATTTTACCCACTGGCCCCACCAGATTCGGTCAATGAGCATTTTATCATATGACCACTAACTGTTGAAAATTTCAACCTAAGTCGGACGCTATATACGGGCATACAGGCACACAAAAAATAAGCAATTTAAAACTCTTCCTTTTTATTTCGATAAGCCCAGAGGGGGAAAGGGAATAACCTAAACACACGTGATCTGGATATGTAAAACACTGTGACAGCGGAAGTTCGGAAAGTTGTGAAAAGTGATTCATTAATGTTTCTTGTTTTATTTTGAAAGAATCAGCCACATTGTCAAAATCTTGGTAAGTGCGATTGAAAATCTTTTCTAGTCACTCACTAGTTGTTAAGTAACTGTAGAGAGGTGAGGCTCTTATGGCAAAGCCCAGTAACCGCTTTTTTGACCTTTATGTTTGCAATATGCCACGTTTCGAGTGTTAGCCCTTCGTTAGAGCGATTGATGGCGCGATTGGATCGTCACTACAGTGATATATATTGGTTCTACTGCGACTTCTTCAAATCTCTGTGGCTTTATACCGCACAATTTATCCCCATTAATTAAAATAGGGTTATTGAGTATCGTTCAATTTGATGATCATAAATCTAAATTCAGACCTCTATTTGTGGTGTAGACTGTCCCACGCTGATATCATAGGAAATTCGCAGTGCTTCATTACGTGGCTTTCCAGTGGCTATGATCTGCACTAGCTATTAACTTGACTTTGTTTTAGGAGGGTTTATCGCTTATCGATTCGGAGATCGCGGTTGATTCAAATTGAATTTCCGTTTTCTACTTGTACACAAGCGTTTCATGGTCGAGATACTATTCACTAAATTTTTGGATACTGGCGGCGGGTTCTGCGGTAAAAATTTTTCTAAACGCCGTAATCCGCTTTGTTGTCTCGCATAAGAAGATAAGTAATGACGCCGCACGCTCATGAAGAGAGATGTTTTTATTTTCCTAGAGAAATTGGAACTTTCTTAAATCCAGTTATTGCGTACATAGTATAAGCATACTTTTGCGTCGAACGGATGCTTCATATCCTCTCCGTAAAATTGCTTTCTTCAAACCGTAATGGTGTTATACAATATATTTCAACCTCATTAGCTAAGATTGTTGAGCATTTTTTAATTTAAGAAACTGATGGTTTCCACAATCACTTGATCAAGTTGCTATTCTCAGTAGTTTTGTTAAATACTTTTGATCACAGTTTTAATTTTTTCAAATCAAAAATTGGCGGTAACCGTGTTTGATTGAGGGTCTTAAGAAGGTTAACCGTGAGCCATAAAACGGCCAAAAAAATTTAACTGTTAAGCGTAAAAAATTGTGTAATTTTAACTGTTAGTTGTGAACAAAATTAACCTCAAAAAATAATTTCTGGTAACAACTCATGCATGGAATGATGTTAATCATTAGTCGTACAATAGGCAGAATTTTAACCGCTAGCCGTAAAAGCCATCACCCCATTAATTAAGACCCTCGTTCTACTAAAGTGAGCCCATAATTCTCAAAAACGACTTGTTTGGCTTTGACCGTGTAGCCTTGGAAAATGAAATTTCCCCGAATTTGGAGAAATCAGGTAATAGGGACCTTAAGCAAACCACGACGGCGACGGCAACGAGGACATGAAAAAACAAAAGATCTAATTGGCAGAACGATAGCTCAGCACGTGCGTTTGAAAACTTTGTACATTTCTTTGCCGTCCTATGCAAAACAACAACGTGAAATCACCACAACTTGCGTCGTCTGCGAACCGAAACTGCGACGGCAAATCATTTTAATTTCCATTTGGAACTCAAGGCTTCTCTTATACGTTATGCTGAAGTAGAGGTGTGGCGCCGTATGAGACGGTAAACACATGCAGCCATTTTTTAAATTTAATAAAGGCAAATTCATTTTTTTAATCGAAGTCTTCCTGGGCGTTGCCATCCTGACTGCTTAAGGTCCCTGATGTTGACGTCAATACTAAATTAAACGGGAAGCAAGCTTGTCAAGCTTGCAATTGTTTGTTACTTTTCGATAAGAAGGAAGGACCAAAGCCATATTGAATATTCATCATTCAAATAATCGCTCGGTGTTAGTGTCCTCCAGTGGCAATTTTCTTGAAATTTCCTGAGGAAAAGAAAAAACAAAAAGACAGTGCCTTGCAGATACGCAGATCCCACAACGTAACTGTCATCCAGTCCATTTCTTCCACTTCTCGCCTGTTCCCAAAAGAAATATGTTGAACTATTGATTATGACTATTATTTATTACTGAAAAGTCAAGCAAAGTCAAGCTACTCTCTCTGATGTCATTTACTTGTTGCCATATTTCAGTCTCTGGATTAACGCCTTCAAATGGAAGACCAATGATGTAGTTTTTTTCGAGCAAGTTACCCGAGCCACTCCGACCTTTTTTTTTTTAAAGTCTTTCCTCCCCCCCCCCCCCCCCCCCTACCCCCCTACTCTTCACTCCCCTACCCCCACCCCTCTCCTTATTTTTGACCGTCGACCGCCCCCGGTATAAATTTTTCCTCTCCCCAGCCTTCCGCCGCCATTAAAATCAAAGATGGCGGCCATAATATTCGTTATGAAATTACTTAGCATTTGCTAGCCTAAATTACGCCTGCTCTGCAGGCTAGGTTCTGCGGTACATATTTTTCTTAAGGCCGTAATCTGTTTCTTTGTCTGTTAAAGCGCCAGAGTCTCGCATAAGAAGACAAGTTATGACGCTGCGCGTTCACGAAGAGAGATGTTTTAATTTTTTCAGAGAAACTGAAACTTTCTTAAATTCACTGTTTTTACATACACAGTATAAGCGTCTTTTCCGTTGAACGGATACTTCATATCTCCACCGTTTAATGGCTTTCTTCAAACCTTTATGGTTTTATACAATATATTTCAACCTCATTAGCTAAGATTGTTCAGCATCGTTTAATTTGAGAAAATGATGGTTTCTACAATCACGTGGCCAAAAACTAAAATGAATCCTATATCAAGACATATTTATAATGCGGACTGTCCTTTTCTACTGTCAGAGGATATTCGCAGTGTTACAGTTCGTGGTTTTCCAGTGTCCATAATTTTCTTTAGTAATTCACGTGACCTTGTTCGCTTTTTGTGAAAGTAATAAGGTCTCGCATAAGAAGAGAGGTCAGTCTATGACCGCGTGCTCACGAAGAAAGATGTTATAATTCTCTGTGAGGAACCGGAGGAAGTGTAACTGATCACTGCGCTTAATTACTTTTCAGATGTAATTAGTTTACGAAGCCCAGCCGTTAAATTAGTTGAAAAGTATTGTGAGGCTTTCAAATGAGCTCCAACAACATGCCCTTTGAAATCTAAATATTTTGTCATTGCTATTTCACAAACTCATAATTAAATCCTTTTATAAATGTGGGAGAAGGGAGATTGCAATCTTTTCACTTCCATCACGTTATCAGGTTACTGGTAAAATGACAACCAAAACATTTCTATATCTCTTATACGGTCAAAAACGTGCAGAACAGTATTATGTGGTTTTAAAATTAGTCAAGATGTTTTTAGGGGAAAAGTGCAAAATGTTTTTGTCGTTTCACTTTCAGAAGTATCTGCTGCGACATTGATAATTTTGTATTGTTTTGTTAGAATAACTTTACCGTAACTTAAGCTTTAACTTTACGGTTACTTGAGGTATGAGTAACCTTTTAATTCCAAAGGCAACTGCTAATTACTAATTTGTCCTGTCCTTTCCTGATACTATTAAGCCATGGCTTGTTGTGCGAAGATTAAGCTCGTTACTTGGTAATAGCTTGCGACAACAATATTTTGCTACAACTCATGGAATAATGTTATCTGTCAGCCGTTAAATGGCCAAAATTTTAGCCGTTAGCCGTAAAAGCCATCACCCCATTGAGACCCTCCTTCTACTACAGTGAGCCCATCGTTCTCAAATGCGACTTGTTTGGCTTTGACCGTGTAAACTTGGAAAATGAAATTTCCCGAATCTCGAGAAATCACGTAATGTTGACATCAATACTAAATTAAAGGGGAAGCAAGCTTGTCAAGCTTGCAATTCTTTGCTATTTTTCGAAGACAAGGAAGAACCTTAGTCATACATAATTTTCATCTTTCACATAATCGCTCGGTGCTAGTGCCCTCTAGCTGCAAGTTTCTCGCAATTGTCTGAGGAAAAGAGGAAACAAAAATGTTAAATCAGCGCGAATTTCCGTTGGGAGTTTCCAGGAGAGTGCCTACTGGATGCGGGGATCCTACAACGTAACTGTAGTCCAGTCCATTTCCCCCACCTCTCTCCCCTCCTCAAAAGAAATATGAATAACTATTTGCAATAACTATTGATTATTACTGAGAGTCAAGCTACCTCACTCTCTCTCTGATGTAATTTTCTTGTTGCCATATTTCAGTCACTGGATGAACGCCTTCAAAGGTAACACCAGTGATGGTGTTGAGTGAGTGAGTGAGTGAGTGGTTAATTTCGAGCAAATTACAGATCCACTCCGTCCTTTTTTTTTTTAATTTTTTACTATTATTTTTTTTAAGTATTATTATAATAGTTACTATTGTTGTCTTCGATGCAAATCACACCCGCAAGAAAATGAAAAGTTTATGAGCACAATGGGTGAATTTCCACCCACAAGAAGCTTATTGTTTAAAGACAGAAGCTTTAGTTGTACTCTTGATCTGATCGATCTCGTGTTGCAAATCCAACCGGTCCAAAAGAGATGAATACTGAAGCCTGACGTTTCCCGTTAAACAGAGCAAGATGTTTCATTTTTGGATGCTCAAATCCATCATTGGTTAGAAAGTGTGACGTTCCAAACCGAAATACAATCACTTAGTTTTTTTTTTTGGTATTTTTGGCTTCGATTTCGCAAATCACACCCGCTAGAAAAATAAAAGTTCACCGTGACCGTGACCGTGACCGTGTCTTCGGAAGACTAGGGGTCGATTGTCACGCAAAGATAGCTTACCCTTTAAAGAGAGAAACAAGTTTCACCGAATGTGATCCGTTGATGTGCTCCAGTTGTACTTATCCACGCGTCTTCTTCACTTATTATTTTTTGTTTTAATTCGATATTATGAATTCTAACACTTTCAGCTCGTTACAAAAAGTTTCCAGCCCGTTTTGGTAACTTCACATATAGGTTCCCGTTTGTAGTGACTTATTGTGAATCCAGAGTCATTCTGTTAACTTTTGTTATTAAAATAACGTTTCCCTTATAACAGGAGAGGATGGCAATGGAAACCTAACGACAGAAGCCATGATAGCTTTCATGAACATCGCCTTTCTAGTTGCCCTGTTCCTGCTCAATTCAGATCGCATTCAGGAAGCCATTGAGATATGCAGCGAATGTTTGATTTTGCTAAATAAAACCGATCAAAACAGCAAAGACCAATTTAATACACTACTGCTACAATTTTACAGCGCCTTCAATTTACTTCTTTTCAAGGCTTATCGTCGTATCTCTGACTACATGAGTGCGGAAAGATACGGCAGGAAACTGCTTGTCTTATACAGCGAGTCTGGTGACTTAGAAAGAGAAGGAGATGTAAGCTTAGCTCTTGCAGAGATTGTTGAGAGTCAAAACAGGTTTACAGATGCCAAACAACTTTACAAAAAAGCAGTTAATATCAAGAGACTAGCTGGTGAACAAATTGGCGAAGCAAGAGCCTGCGCAAGATTCGGAATTATGCTTTATAGACTTGGCGAGGACCTAAAAGCGAAGGAGCATGTTGAGAGAGCCCTTGCCATAGCAACCGAAATTGGCGGCAAAAAAGCAGAAGCATCCTGTTGCGAAAACCTAGGAGCGTTGCTTCAGTTACTCGGGGAATGCGACAAGGCTAAACAGTATCTCAAAAAAGCGCTTCTCATCAGAACGGAAATTGGCGACAGAAAAGGAGAGGCAACTGACTACGGAAACCTAGGAACTGTGTTTCAGTCGCTCGGGCAATACGACAATGCTCGAGAGTGTCTCGAAAAAGCGCTTGTTATCAGAACTGCAATTGGCGACAGGGAAGGAGAGGCAACTGACTACGGAAACCTAGGAACTGTGTTTCAGTCGCTCGGGCAATACGACAAGGCTGTAGAGTATCTCGAAAAAGCGTTTGCCATCAAATCTAAAATTGGCGACAGAAGAGGAGAAGCATCATGTTATGGAAACCTAGGAACTGTGTTTCAGTCGCTCGGGCAATACGACAGGGCTAAAGAGTATTTCCAAAAAGCGCTCGCCGTCAAATCTAAAATTGGCGACAGAAGAGGAGAAGCATCATGTTATGGAAACCTAGGAACTGTGTTTCAGTCGCTCGGGCAATACGACAAGGCTGAAGAGTATCTCCAAAAAGCGCTTGTCGCCAGAACTGAAATTGGCGACAGGGAAGGAGAGGCAACTGACTGCGGAAACCTAGGAACTGTGTTTCAGTCGCTCGGGCAATACGACAATGCTAAAGAGTATCTCGAAAAAGCGCTTATCATCAGAACTGAAATTGGCGACAGAGAAGGAGAGGCAACTGATTACGGAAACCTAGGAACTGTGTTTCAGTCGCTCGGGCAATACGACAATGCTAGAGAGTATCTCGAAAAAGCGCTTATCATCAGAACGGAAATTGGCGACAGAGAAAGAGACGCAACTGACTACGGAAACCTAGGAACTGTGTTTCAGTCGCTCGGGCAATACGACAAGGCTGTAGAGTATCTCCAAAAAGCCCTCGCCATCAGAACTGAAATTGGCGACAGAAGAGGAGAAGCATCATGTTATGGAAACCTAGGAACTGCGTTTCACTCTCTTGGGCAGTACGACAAGGCTAAAGAGCATCTCCACAAAGCGCTCGTGATCAGAACTGAAATTGGTGATAAGGAAGGGGAGGCAGCAGATCTTGCAAACCTCGCAGTTGTGTCTAGAACTGTTGGAGATTATGAAGCTTCGGAAGTATGTTTGGAGAAAGCTTTATCCATATCTAGAGATATTGGAGACAGAAGAAAAGAGTTCCAAATCCTTCAAGAGCACGCTATTTGGTATTTGTTTCAAAATAAAATCAAAGACTCCCTTTCGTGTCTTCACCTGTGCATTGAAAAGTATGAGGAGCTGAGATCTTTCTTGGGCGCCAATGATCAGTTCAAAACATCATTTCTGGAGGACTCAGGAACATTTACCCACAAGCTGCTTTGTAAGTTGCTTTGTGCCACCGGAAATTCTCGGGATGCTCTTTACGTTGAGGAGTTGGTTCGAGCTAGAGGCCTATCAGACTTGATGGCAGAGAAGTACTCGGTTGAAACGCACATCTCTGCTAATCCACAATCTTGATTTGGCATTGAAGACATCTCCAGAAAGGAAGATAACTGTACTTGTCTGTACATTTCTTACTTTCAAAATGATTTGCATTTGTGGATCTTGAAAACAAGTTGAGTCCTTCACTTTAAAAGAATATCTGTGGAAGAGAGTCTAGTTCAGGCTGGGTTGCCCAAAGATTTGCCTTTAAGTAAATTTTTGGCAGATTGTTTGCAACCTCTCACCCCCGAGCAAAAGAGCTCAGCAAGATTGCGACTCGTGGAGGAACACGAGGACGAGAACGAAGGAGTCATTTCAAGTCTATCTTTGTGTTACAAAATGTTTATTGCCCCCGTTGATGATTTGCTTGAGGAGCCTGAAGTCATAATCGTCCCTGACCGCTGTTTGTACCAAGTTCCGTTTGCTGCTCTCCGTGAAAAGGAGGGGACCGAATACCTGTCGGAGACTCATAGGATCCGTGTCATTCCTTCTTTGACAACACTCAAGATCATTCAAGATAGTCCAGAGGATTATCACAGCAACACTGGTGCCTTGGTAATAGGCAATCCCAAGGTTGATCGGCTGCTGCCATTGCCAGGTGCAAGAAAGGAAGCGGAGATGGTCGGACGATTGGTGGGTGTTCCGCCTCTGGTAGACGAGAAAGCAACTAAGCAGGCGGTGCTTGAGCTGATAAGTTCAGTGAGCCTGATACATTTTGCTGCCCATTGTAACGCCGAGAGGGGAGAAATTGCCCTCTCTCCCATTCCTGCTCCTAACGGTCGAAACGTTATCCTACCACAGGAAGCTTACGTGTTGACGATGGCTGATGTCTCACGAGTAAAAATCAGAGCTAAACTGGTGGTACTTAGCTGCTGTCACAGTGGAAGTGGAGAGATAAGAGCCGAGGGAGTTATAGGAATTGCCCGTGCGTTCTTAGGATCAGGTGCTCGCTCTGTGTTGGTTACGCTGTGGACCATTTCAGACTCAGCAACAGAGCAGCTGATGAGTCGGTTCTACAAACACCTTGTTGAAGGAGAAAGTGCCGGTGAATCCCTTCATCAGGCCATGAAGTGGATGAGGAAAAACGGCTTTACCAAAGTGTCTGAGTGGGCTTCGTTAACGCTGATTGGAGATGATGTGAGGCTCGAGTTTGGCAAGCAGAGGTAAGACTCGGTGAGGACAGGTATTTCATAAATTAAAGTTAAAATTAGACGCGAAGGTGGCTTTGACTTACTGGTCGCTGACTGTCGGCGGTGATCCTTTGTCACCTTGAATATCAAATTGGTTTTATACCCTTTTTTTGTTTCTTTCAAAGAGTAACAATTTATTCTTCCAGTTGGATGTAAAATATAGAATCTCGAAAGGGCCTCTCTGCCAATCAGATGCAAGTGTATATTTGCCTACGTATTGCGCCTGGTATAACTGTATTTGTTTTATTTAAGAAATGTTGATTAAGTTATTTATAATTGGTTTTTTTTTTACGTTTGTTACAGGAAAGAAGATGAGAATAGCTCGAAGGAAACAGACCTTAGAGACTTTTAGACGGATAACCAAATAGAATAAGTAGAGAAAATACTCTATCCGTTATTTCATTGTGTAATTAAGGAAAGGGCAACCTCAAATTAAGGATATTAATTTCAATTTTTTACATTCTCTTTTCCGATCTTCTCAGAAGGAGGTATTGTTTACGTATCCGAGAATATTTTTTCGGCACAAAAATTATCTTATCTGGCCGATATAATTAGCATGAAACATTATTGACTTAGGGCTCTTAAGTGAAGTGAAGTCAGGAAAGTTAAAACAATAGTTTAAGCATCAAAAACGAGCCAGTTAAGTCTTACAGGGTTTTCTCACAAAGCCTTTTGTTATAGGTTTCGTTAACAGAATCCTAAATTTTTTTATGTAAAATCTTTAGGAAAAGCTTTTCTTTTGGTCTGTTCCAGTACTACTTCTGAGTGCTTAAAAAATTGGACAAAAATTAATGGATTTCCAAATAGAACCGTGGAAAAAGCTTTCAAGGTCAAGAACTTAATTAGTATCAAGTGGAAAAATGACGGCAGCAATATTTTGAAACTGGTTCAACAAGTCACTTAGGCATTGTAATGTTTGAGTTAAAGTATGTTTGCATAGTGATTTAATTGTTTTTAAGTCAGGTTATCGTCAAAATGTTGTTTAGGGAATCAAAATATTCTTGTTTTTTAGCACACTTAATACAATTTTTGGCAAAGTTTCTTAAGGGATTATGTAGTAATTTCAAAGACGCTAAAATAAAAGACAGCTTGAGATAAATCTTAGAAAATATCGCGAGCGTTTGTTGTAACCAGGTTACAGAGTAAAACAGATAGCACTGTTGTTCATTGTTAAGGCGGCAAGGTGGTGGGATAAATGATGCAAGTGGTAGGAGTGTCTGTATGCGGTCCACGCATGTGCGCATGAGGAATTCTCATTCCTACCCCAACCTACACGTCCCACCCCCCTCCCTCCTCCACTTCGCTCTGCTTCAAAAAGGAAATTAAAGAGATGAATTTTTGCCACATTTGTTTGGAAACCTTTCCGTGAGCTATGTTTCAAACCAACGACCCCTTCGTATCGTGTACGGTCAATATGGAAGACAGTTCTCAGAGTCCTGAGTAACCGACTTCGCGATGTTGAGTCAGTTGGGTGCTATAGAGACTAATCTTTACATAGAAGTAAAACATGAAATAAAAGACCCATTCAAGGTGCGTTGGCCCTGTACGAGAAGATTTAGCAAAATTTAGAAGTCATTTTGAAATTTTGTAAGCGACTAGCTTTTGTTTCTGTTGTGGTAGAAAAAGCTTTTAAAACATTTGACAATAATTTCATGGGGCTCACCTCGCCACATCGTTGGCAATTTTCGTTAGTCAGAGTCAAGACGCGCTAAGCTAAGTGACATTGCCCTCCAGTAAAATAATTTTCCAAAGAATAAATGTGGCGAGTGTGAGGAAACGCACATTTTTTCATTACTGTGATCAAAGCGCAATGATATATCTTATTCTCTTCACTTGCACACAATTGAACTTTCTTGTGCCTTTTAAGAAATTAAAATTTTGAAGATAAAATAGTATTTAATAGGTAACAGATGTAACAGGTGATGTCGTTCCTTAATCTCGTACCACCGTGTAACTGATATAAAGGCTTGGCCGGTCACACAAGGCCGGGGTACGAAACAAGTTGCCCTCCTGGACGGTCGCCTCGAAACATGGTTGCGTCACCTCAAGCTTTAAGTTACGTTACCCCCAACTTGAAGTTCTTTAGTAATCGGGCAAAAATATCCGCTCGCGCAAGTCCCTAACTTAAAGCGGCTTCATCTTTGATTATAATTAAACTGAACGCTTTGATTATAATTAGAAAAAACTGATTCTCTCATCACTCGCTCCAATCCTTCTGGAGCGCTGTAATCTTAAAAAGGATAATTCTTCGATCACCAATGCAAATAAAGTTCGATAATCAAATAACAGTAGATGTTATTTAGCACTGTCTAATAAGGGGGAATGTTTAGCTTGTACAGCGGATAGTTGTACCAATTTGTAATATTATCGTTGTTTTTCTTTGTTTCATGCGATGGAGTACTGTCGTCAGCATACAGCTTCACAGGTATTTTGGTACCATAATAGACGTTGTCTTGGAGCACGTGATGTTGAGAAAGATCGCCATTGGTCAGCCAGATACATATGTAATTAGTGGGGTCGCTTACTCCAAGGATCTCAAATGCATTAGCGGAGTAAGTGATGTTCCAATCTATTCCAATATCATGGGGCTCGTAATAATAGATACCACTTGTGAGATGACCAGGATTGGTTCGTTGCACTATATGATTTCTGTAGATGACAACGTTCTTCAAACCTTTATAGAGACATGGATTGATTGTTCTGTGAGTATACAAAAAAATACCTGTGTCGTCGAGGTAATTACGGGCAACCAATAGATTTTTTCCATTTCGAGCTTTAATGCCGCCTGAATAATTCGCTGGCCAGCCTCTGACGTAATTACTTATAACTTCCATCATATTGAAGCCTTTGAGGTACATCACGTGGTCTCGGAAACGACCTGTGTTTGGGCTTCCGTTGAAGATATTTTTCACGATTCTCATCCTTTCGTCGCACTCTTCATAACAACAACTTTGAAAGAAGCCTTGATCAGATTCCAGATTGTAATGAGTCATAAGGAATTCTAATTTTTGTTTTTGATCTCGCCAGTACCATGCTGGCTCAACTTTGGTGGCTAACCAGCCTATCTTGCCTAAATCCAGCCCACATATGTTTTCTCTCACCTCTACACCCACAGTGAAGGTAAATTTTGAAGCAACTCCATACGCATTAGAATCGCGCAAAAAGATGTTTCTGTACACATTACTGTTTCTAAGGTCCATCATTTCCAACTGCTCCCTCTCAGCGTTTCTCGGAGTTGGCCTTCCGGATGAAAAGAATACACAGCTGTTTATGGTAACGTTACTCATAGCTGTTGGTCCAGGGACTTCTCGATTGACTCCACCGTCAAAATTCACACGAATTCCGTCGAAGTACACATTATTCAATGAAACTGATTTCACTGGTGAAGCATTGTAAACTTGAAAAACATAAGGAGTTGAGGACTTGATAACTGCGATACCGCTCTGTGTTCCGTGAAGTTCCACCGGGCCAGGGATGGCGATATTACTGCTTACTAGGTATTCACCTCGAGGGAAGAATACCTTATTATTTTTGGAACTTGCAGCGTGATTAACGATGGCCTGAATGGAAGACGTGTCGTCCGAGATTCCATCCCCAACGGCAGCAGTTAAGAATCTACCAGGACGCTTCACGTTTGTCATTCCAGCGGGTATGTCCTCTGGTTCCGACGCTAAATAGTTTGGACGTAGTGGCAAAAACTCTCCATCATCGACTTCACTCGATTTCTCTTTGATAACGTATTGCCGCTCTCCCTCGCGTCGCAAAAATATGTTCTGTGCCGTGCTTTCTCTGCCAAATGCCTTTCGGGTAGAACTTATCCCCATCCTTAAAAAAAATAAATCAACATTGCATTAGGATTCGTCGTTTGGCCAAGCAAAGCAATTACCATATCTTACGCATCAACCGAACTCGGTAAACCCAAGGATTTTTCACGAAAACAAGATTCGCACGAGAACCAACGGGCGTACAAATACTTTGCCGATGTTTCACTCGACCTGAATTTAACGAAAAGGAAACAACTCTGATAACAAAAAGAGTACAAGTGAGTTTAATAGTTGCTTGGAAGTTGCTGGCAAAAACAATAAAACTTTGGATCAAGCTTTCACTTGCATGTTCCAGGTTCCATAAACGGAAAATGATTTGGAGAAACCTTAAGTTACACGCCTGAAGCGTTTTCTAAGAAATCGAGCGACTAAACTCTTCGGATAATCAGATTCGGAGCTGGGAAAAATTATTGGCAAAAATTGCAATGACGTGATATGTTTGTTGATTTCACAATTTTCAACAAGATTTTGGCATGCAATTGCCTTTGGCAGAAATTCATGCGCGAACCGCCTTTGGAAAGCTTAAGTATATTGAATAGCCAGCTTTAAAAATCATCGGGTAGATTTGTGATAAGACGAGACAATAGCACGAAGAATAACTTTTGCGCGGCCTTTGTCTCTTAGCAGTGTAATTTAGCATTATCAAATGAGTTCATAACGTAAATTGGCCACCATAAAGAGTTTAAAAGGTGACTTTTCGAGCGTTAGCCCTTCGTCAGAGGGATTGGAGGAACTGAGGATTGTGTATGGGTTTAAAAAATGTTTGTGCAGAAAATGGAGCTACGCTTTATTAGTGGGAATGTGGTGACGGGAAAACAACTTTACAAAAAAATTAACTGAATGAAAATCGCTCGTTGATACCGCGGTGATTAAGAGTGCCGATTTGAAAGATAAATTTGACGAAGGGCTAAGGCTCGAAATGTCAGCTTTTAAACTCTTTACGGTGGCCAATTTACGTTCTCAAGTCAATTGATAATTCGTAATTACCCTGTTACACTCTCCCACCGACGTAGCACACAGTTTCTTTAGAAACTTACCCCCTTTATTCCTTTGTCTCTTAACCCAGCCCTGATAAGTTAATGAGCTATGCCATTATTCCCCGAGGGAAGGGGCACAAAATCACGACCAATTAAAACCATCTCGTGTACGCTTCGCCGCTTCAATTACGGATCTAGAATTTTTTCGCTTCTGCAAGTAAATGTCTCGAGAACAATAGGCATTTTGCATGCGCGATGGAATGTTTTCCATTTTAAATCACATCATTTCCATTGACACTCACCCAAGCTCGAAGATCACACTCACAAACAAAACCACTTCTGGTCCTCTCATCATGTGAAAGTACTCGACAAAAGACAAACACTTTTCAGTGTTCTTAATGACGCGACTTTAGACTCGTTACTTAAACTGCAAACGCGTTATGCTTGGCTTGCTAGTCAGTTCAAAGAGGTCTTCAAACGCAGAACAGAACAGGAACATTCCATGCTATGGCATATCTCATTGGCATGTGCAGCATCTAATGGTAATGTATCGTTTCCTCAGTGTTACACAGGCAAAGCGTACTTGGATCGGTCGCAGCTAACCGGGGAGAATTGACTCGATAAAAATCGTCTCGATAACTGACTAGGTACTCGATTTATGATAATTACGTGAATCGTTTCAGTTAAGACTCTTTTGAGAAACAATAGTACTTGGCAGGTATTGAAGACAGGGACAATCCGGGATTTCTCCTGGGAGAGGGTGCACCACAAAGGAATACCGTAACTTACGGGAGACGTAAAACGAATTTTCCAAGCGAACAATGAAGAAGAAGGGTTATGATTGGGCAATAACACAATAAGAACTACTGAGAATTCATAGAACTTTTATAGCGCTTATCATAAAGTCATCACAAATCAGGTTTAAAGTCGATTAGCTCTGAAATATTTGAAAGGAAGCGCCAGTGCCTGAAAGCACCAGAGATGTTGGTGAAATAACTTAAAACGTTGGCGAAACGACCGGAGACGTTTTTATAGCAACAGCTGGTCGTTAAAGAAACGATCCCCAAGCAAAACAATCGCAATTCCCCGATATAGATCAGACTTAACCGCTGATAGCCATTCACTCGTGGAAAGTGCAAGGAACCACTACTATTAAAAAAAATCTGCGTCCACGGGAGTCGATATTTCCGATTTAGTCACTACTGGTCGACGTTCCAGCCGGCCAGGTTACATTTCTAGCCTAAACAATAATGGCGGCTGCCAGCGAGTTTCCGACAGAACTCGCGACCCGTCCTTTGGGCCTCACAGCTCTTATGGGACTTGATATTAATCAGAAACCTTTGCACAAAGCTATCTGGGAGTCTTTTTCTGTGAACAGGCATCCTGAGAGAGTTCCACTATCCTTCAGACTTCTACCAATTGATCACGAATTTCCCAAAGCAAAATCAAAGGTGAGCTTTCCTATCGCTTTTAAGTGTAGTCACTCTTAAATCCTTTGATTACGTGAAATTCTTCTTATTTTGGTTACATTTAAGCTCTTTCAGTATAGATTATTTAGTATACTTTTCCCAATACATTTCCTAAGGTGCTGACGGGGAGAATTTGTTAAGCAATCAAGAACTGTAGTTGGTGATCATTTCCTGTATTCTCATGACCTTAGCTTAAGGTTTGAATCTGGGGTTGTATAGCAAAGAGAAATTAGATGCTAAAGGATTAAATGGACACTATTTTTGTACAGCAAGGGGTGTCTTTCTTTATAAAGAAAGTTCTACGAGTGATTTCCACAAAATCATTTAGAAGAGTTTATCACAAATCAATCATACTCCTGGGTTTTTTTCCCAAGGAAGCATTCTCTTGCTTCTTTGAGTTCTGACTTTCTTAAACCTTTTACTCCAAAGATTTCTTTAGTAATTCTCTGTACTGTCTGGCCTACAATTCTTAGGATGTTAGTTCAGAAAATCTGGAATTGGATCAACTAATAATCCTCTAATTTATTTTTTTTCCTTTTTTCTCTTCACTTGTTTGCTTGATTTTGCATTGAAATTTTAAAAGTAAGTTCTGTCTCCGTCACTCATGGGATTTGAAGTGTTAACCCTTTAACTCCTAAGATCTGATTGTTAATTCTCCCCTCCAGCTGCTACAAATTTCCTTGTAAATTAGTTATAAGAACTTGATGCTAGATCAAGATAGTATCTTCTACCTGATAAGTTTGAATATTCTCATTACCTGTTTGCTGAGTTATTTATGGATATCATAGGGAAAAGTTTCATGTTAATCACTTCTGGGAGTTAAAGGGTTAAGTGAACCTTTATCTTTGTCGGTGTGCATGGAGCCTCAGTAACATTTTCCATAAGTGAGGGCAGATACTGCTATTAGTGGGGTCACTACCATTGAAAATCTTAGCAGATAGCCAATTAGTAATGTAAGACCTCTCACAGAAACAGTAGGCCTCCTGTAACCAGTGTTACTGAGACCTCTGCTTATGCAAGTGTATGCTGGCTTTTTATCACTGAGTCTTGTTTCCTTGTAGCGTTCTACCTATGAGTGGTACATACCAAAGGGTATCTTGAAGACAAAATGGATGCACAAACATCTTTATCTCTCTCCTGCTGTGGTGGTCATGTTTTAAGAGTTGGATTGGGATGACGTTCAGTGGAAAGACAGGCAAACTGAATGTGCTTCAAAACTAGAAAGAGTCAGGTAATAACAAGAGAGTGAGAATGTTATCTTACTCCTCTTTAACAGTGAACCTTAATCAGCACTAATGACATGACTGAAAATTATTAATAAGTATTATGAAAAGTGTAGTTTGATTTTTAGGCAAGAGGGTTCCATTGTATGTGTTGATTTTTATGACATTGTACAACTCAAAAACTTAATTCCATGCTCTCTGACAGATAAACACACAGAATAATATGTAAATACTAACATGTATATTTGAGCAGAAAACAATTGTTTAATTAACAAAAGAAAATGACTTTTGTCCAATCATCAGCTTAATTAACAATTACTGTGATTTAGAGTGCAATTCAAATAACAACCATCAAATAAGTTTGTCATAACAACAGTAAGTGCTCCTGACACTCTGGAAACCTCCTTCTCTACCAAGTGACAATCAGATACTTGTAAGTTATAATAAGAACATTACAAAACTCATCAACTCATCAAATGCAAAAAAAAATACCCAGTACAATGAATAATTTTGGATTCTATAACTTCAATCCTACACATTTAAAGCAATCTTTTAATTTCTGAACAGGACCAGCCTTCAAGACCAGAACACTAAGGTTGCTGTGGTTCTTATCCAAAAGAATGCTCCTCTTCCTCCAGGTAAACATCAGTAAATACATAGAAGTCAAAAGATGATGTTATTAAGTAGAGAGTTTTAGATCCATGTTTAGTGTTTTCATGCTAACGTCAAACCATAAGTGACTGCCAGGTCTATCCTATAAATCTGCCAGAGGCATTATGATGTTATTTACATGTCATTTATTGAGCTAGGCATGGGCTGGAAAATGGAGAAAAACTGTGCCCAAGGTCTTGAGTATGGCCCAAGACTGGTGTCTGTAATCGAGGTCAAGGGCACAGTTTCTTCCCACATAGAAAAACATGATTGTAAGACTGTATTTTAACAAGCTGGACCAGTGACTAGGGTACAATTAGCCAATCAAAGTCAAGAATTTAAGATTCCAGCCTGTTGACATGCTTCAGAAAAAAAATATTCCTGTATCCCAAGATTTGAGTACCCTTCATGGAGGAAATTTATGCTATTATAATGAATCACAGGTGATGATTTACAAGCACTAGAGAGGGCAGCAACACTGTGCAGTGCATGTGACCTGTCAGCCAAATCATTGTTTGTCCTTCCACATACAGATCACTTGATTGGCTACACAATTAGGTATTTGTTCAAAATTTATCATTTTAGATTGATTTTGATGAGATTGGTTTTCATTGAGTTTGCAATTGAATATAAAAGCCCAACTTTTGTCAAATATAGGAAAAGATTTATTTAGTAAGAGTTTCATATTTTTTCTATTGTATTTTTTTCTAGCTGATCAAGAAAAGTTACAAAACAGGACACAATAAAGACTAAGTTAGTTAGAATTATTTGGAAAAAGTGACAGTGAAGTAGAAAGAAATTGAAAAGCTTTTTTACATGAGTAAGCCTTTAACTCTCAAGATTTCATTAGTAATTCTCTTAACTGTCTGCCATACGATTCATGTGATGTTTGTGTGGAGAATTTGGAATTGGATCAACCAATAATCCTCCACTGGATATTTTTTTTTCTTTATTCTCATTACTTGTCTGCTTGATATTGTACTGATGTGTCAGGAGAAATTTTGTCTTGGTCACTAGTGGGACTTAAAGGGTTAAAGTAACTTTAGACTCACTACAAGTTGTTTAGTTACTTACATGGGATGAGAATGTTTTAAAAATAAGGGAATATCTATCAGAAAATCAGATGTTATCAGCATTTATCAAGACTTTCCCAAGAGAGTTAACAGCCTCTCTATTGATTTGTGTTTTCATCTGATTAACCCTTTAACTCCCAGATCAAATTTGTAATTCTCCTTACTGTCAACCATACAATTCTTATAATATTAGTTTGGAGAATTTTTGATCAGATCAACTACTTATCCCCAAATTGATATTTTTCTTTAGTCTCATGTCTAATCTAGTTGATATTGTATTGATATTGTAAGGAGAAATTCTGTCTTGGTCACTCATGGGAGTTAAACGGTTGAATGATCATACTACAAGTTATCGTAGTCATTCATTCAAAATAAAAAAGGAACAGGTTTGAAACTTATGAAATAAATATTTCTTCTTCTTCTTTTTTTTTAAGGCTGGAGAATGCTTTTTATGATTTAGCACAGAGTTATTACCATGGAGAATGTAGGAGAGTTAAAGCCCACAAGGTGAGGTTGCAATTCTGGAAATTTAAGGGAGTAGGGATAAGGTCAGGTTATTAAAATCCCAGCCAGGAGGAAGCAACAAGCCTGTATTTGCTTCATGCTGCAGAAACTAGGGAGATGCAGTGGCAGATGTAATAAACTGTATCCACTGTTGAATGGTCCTTGTCTAAAATTTATTTTCAACTGTCGCTGTCTACATCATCTTGTACATAGATGATACGTAGATGGATGACACAGATTGAAGATGAGGCCACAGTCTCTGAGTGTCTTGAATTGAATTTTCAACTGGTCAGTAAAAGGGGAAAAGATAGCGTTCTGGTTAGCTTTTTGGACTCTTTTGGTTTAACTGCCTTAGTTCGACATAAATTCATGCTAAAGCCATTGGGTTTTTTAGTAGGACACTCCCCCTGTACTAAGTAAATTTCTCTTCTCATATCAAGGACAGAAAAGTATCAGTAACTAAAACTGTCTGTTGGAAAATGTGCCAAAATTCTGGGTCATATACAATCCTGTATAACTTGCCTGGTAGCACAATATAATGTTTTTATAGATTACCTTTTCACTAGCCAGAATTACCATCAAAATAACTTTGTTGTAGCACCAAAAGTAAAATTTTATCAATATACGGAATGAAGAGACACTTATTATGTTTTCATGCTCTTTATGATCATTAGGAATTTCTTAACAAAGGAACTCATCAGGTGAGAACTTTAATTTGCAAAAGTGATCTTTGTATGTCAATAATTTGATGTGATCGATTCTACTCAAACTACAGAACTACATTTAGTGAAAGGCTGAGGGAAAGAGTTACCAAGAATTCATAGCAGAAAAAGCTTGTTGATGTCAGCTTTGAAGGGTGTTACTTTGAAATGTTTCTCATTCGGTGTCTTTTTTTTTGCTACCCTCTTATATATATATTATTATTATATTCCACCAAAGACATCACTGATCACATTTTGCTTTGCACATGGCCTCAACAATTCATAAATCTCTTATTTTGCTTCTCTACTGTTGTTGTAGCTATTGTTGGTGCGACACCAATTCAAGGTTGCCTTTTTCAATGAGCTAAGACAAGACCCTCACTCTGCTATCAAGTAAGTTCGTCAGTATTTATTTTTTTATTGATCTTACAATGACAACAATTAGTTGGCCAAAAGGTAGATCTCAGTGTTTCCCTTTTTTTCGGTTAAGGGGTCAGGAAGGAAAAGGAACTTTCAGGGCTGTATTAGCCAACTTTCTGTTGAGAGACTTTTTTGAGAAAAGAAAATATAAAGAGGAAAAGTAGAAATGAAAATTTTGAAAAGGACACCTTGTGAGAATATTAAACAATATACTTTCAGCTGACAGCAATGCTTGTCTCTGAAATGATCAGCAATTAGTGTAGGATTTTCACAAGGTATCTCAAGGTTTAGAACTAGGACAGTGGAGGAGAAGGAGCAAATTTTTTTTTTATGAAAGAAAATGACAGAGAGTTAAAAGTTGTTCTGCCTTGCCACATGACAGCCAAAGACAGTTTACAAAATTGGCAACTCCTGCCACAGATTTCTTCCCCCAATATTTTCAGTCTTCCTGCCTTAGAGATCTCTCAACGTAAACTCCCAAGTTAGTTACATTTGCATATTAACATACCAGACATCAGCTGATTGATGTAAGACTTTTTTAATTTTTAACCCCAGGCACTACAGGCAAGCATACAGTCTTCTTGGAGAAATCAAGACAACTGACATGAACATACTAGAGATCAAAGTTGTTGCTGGATTTATTAATTACAAGGTTTGTGTTTTTTCATATTTTAGAACTCTAATCAATATATATTTGGTGTATACCATTGTAATAATAGTTACATAAAAGTAATGATGTGAAGAAGACATTGTACATCTTGGATGAGTTAAAGACATGATCTCTTATCACGTAATTTTACATTTTTGGGATTATGTACTCCTTTTGTCAAATATGCAAGGTAAATTTTTCACCAGATACCTTAATTGTGCCGTTAAATCAAAAGATCTCCATCTGTAATTCTAAGTCTGAGGTGTACAGTCAAGTCGCTCTTAAGTGGGCACTTTAGGGAGGTGGCCATTTAATAAGTTTATTTTAGAAAAATATAATCAGAAAGTTACGAGTGAACTATGGTACAGTACTTATTTGGTATTTATTAATTCTTGAAATCAGTTTACCCACTTAACCATCCAATTTCATTTTAGAATGAAACTACATTATAGAATGTGTCGCTTACAACGTTGATGAAGTATTCCTTATTTCTCTCTGATTTTATAACAAACCTGTCGGTGACTGCTTATGAGAAACACAGTACAAAAAATGTGTCCAACATTTTTTAATATGGTCACTTACAGGAGTGTTTTGGAAATGGTGACAAACAGAAACAAAATGGTTATTGGCAGAGTGGTCACAAAAAAAACCAAATATCTTTGAAAACATTTGATGCTAAATTTAGATTCAGTGGAATTTAAATGTCCTATGGGACCAATATATCTGGTGATTTATATCCCTCCTACAACATATATTACAGACTTTTGAGTTATCCTGACAACCAAACAGTATTAATCAATTTTTATTAATTGTCTCACAGATTTGCCGTCTAAGTTTCCAAGCATCAGCCCCATGAGATGCCATATTACAATTCAGAAAGCATGTGGATTTGTTTAAGGAAAAGGTTGGCTGCCCTGACTTAGCCTTTGAACACTCAGCCTGGCTCTCCAAACAGTGAGTATTTTTTCTGTTTAGCCTCCTCACTCTTTACTGGAAGGTCTGCACTCAGTTTGTTTTTTGGGCACTTACATAATATGTACAGCTAAAGTACCTCCCTCCACCCCAGAGTTGAAATAAGTATTGGCCAATAGGGGGGTGGGGGTAGGGGGTAATCTACCAGACCTATATGTAGCATCAAATCCAGAGAGAGAACTTTTAGTCTCTTTATGCCACAGAAACCATGATAAGCTTTGATGTGGTGAGTCCTCTTTGGTTTGTGTTCTAGAAGGTTTTTGCTTTCAAAGAAACCCAAGCTGTGACCAGGATCTAACAACTCTTGTTTCTTAACAACATTAGATCAAGAACAGGTCAAGTTTAAGTGAAATTTTTGATTGAACTTTTCAACGTAATGGAACTGAAATGATGAAAACAGGAGACTTTTAAATAATTTGTTAGTCAGTTCAATGATGAATAATTGTCAAAGTTAATACAACATGCTGTATGGTAGGGAATTATAGAGGCTTAATCAATAACAAACTATGTGAAAAATTAATACAGGTTCAGTTTATTTGGAGAACTGTTTGATGAAGCCATCAGAAATGGTTTAACCGCCTTACAGGTAACAATGTAGAAGATCTGTGTTGGCATATTGGTTTAATGAATGAAATATTTATTTATTAAATCTACAAACAACAATACATCTGTAAGAAGAGAAAGAAATTCTTACTAATTATGTTACTAAGTATTCTGAATTGGTATTTAGAATAAAGAAAAAATTGTCTCCCATTATGCCATATCTCTTATGATAATTGTATGCAATATAAATGAATAGAATGGAGTGTTTTTCTGTTTTAAAGGTACTTTTTTGTCATCTCTTAACAATCATGATGATCTTTTCTCCCCTAATTAAATTTTGGCTATAAACAGAGAGAGGCACCTTAATAAATAGGATTGATGTAAATGTGCCCAAACAAATCTGGTCTAGTGACTGATTAGAGTGTCCAAATCAGTCATACTCTCAGATTCTGGTAAAGACTTAACTGTTACATTATCACAGACTCAACACCCAGGATTTTACTATCAACAAGCAGCAAACAATGCCATTGTCAGGAGACAGCTTTGCCAGGGCTTGTGTCATGTAAGTAAAATTATTATCATGCCAGAGGATTGCTGAGAAAGATCTGAAGGAACAGTGACAGACACAAACTCAAAGGAGCAATATTTTTCTTAATGAAAGTGACCATTTTTTTATCATTAGTTGAAACTTACCAATAAAAATTTGAAGACTAGAACTGTCTGACTTAGGTAATTTTGAAGTACAAATTATTTCCAAAGAACTTTTCCTGGAGGGCCTTACCCAGATAAATTGGGCTACATACTGGAGGTCAAAGCTTGTTTGGACAGTTATCAAAAAGATATCCTATATCCAAACATATTACAAAAGGCCATCTTTTGCCAATTCAGCTGTGTACACAGAACTCCCCCCCTCTAACAATGTTGGTAAAGCCTAAGTTTAGGCACTACATCCTGGTAACGTTTACAAAGCATACAAAATTTGAAATTGTTTGGGGGAGGGGCAGGGAAGGTTTTGATATAAGTAATATTGCCTTAGACTTTAAACCACCCTTGTAGTGTGGGATAATGTTGAATGTAAACTAGTGGCAAGAAAGGGTCATAGATTCCCTTCAGAGTACACCTAACCAAAAACTAATTAACTACCACTCAAAAGGGTCATTTGTTTTCTGCATGTAATTAACTTTTATTGTTCATTGAGTCTGATGAGTTACTTTTTAGTTAATACATTGGAATCTGTTATTAATTCATCTCTAGACTACCACTCCACTTACTATGAATCCCTTAGAAAATGCTGGAAATCTCGACTTCTATGGTCAGAGACCTTGGAGACAAGGTTTTCAAGGTAACTGCAAATATATAATTTTTTCCACTGGCAGTGTCTTTTAGAGTAAGTACAAAAGGTGTTGAGACACTCAGTAAGTTTCCTTTGCAAACCATGTACTGGTTGAAAAGCTCAGTGTTTGAATTTTGTTCCATTAGATGAGAGAAAACTTTTTGTGTATTAAAAACACTCTGTCGGAAAAAAAATTTTAAAACTTTTTTTTTGAGCTTATTTGAAACTTGATCTGTTGAGATGCAATACTTTCCTTTAATTTGTAGAACTGCTGGGTTCATTTGACTTAATATATTTGTAGGAACAGAACCACCAGATGCAGGAATAGAGAAGGCTGGAATTATAGCCTTGCAGTCCCAAGAAATCCAAGTGGACCATTCTGTAAGTGCACTGTGTTGTTTGGTAGACTTTCATTTCAAGAAAATTAAGATCAGATAAATGTCAGGGAGAAGTCATGGTGTCAAATTAAGTTTAAATGCAAGGTCAATATGACTGTGAATTTTTGGTTGTGCACATTTGCATAAATGAGCTTTCTAGCCAAACCAAAGCAATTATGAATTTGAAATCCTAATTGCCAGTATTACATAATACCTTGTTAGCAAATACTCTTACCATCAATCTCTTTGTTTATGCTAACCTACTTTGTATATTTGGTTGAGGTACTTAGAATATTGGCTCCTTTTTTTTTTTTTCTCGCAGTGGGTTATCATTCCTCTTCTCAGTAGTGCAGTGGCTCAGTTTAAAAAGTACAAATCACCCAGGATGAAGAGATACCTGAGTAAGTTCTCTCTTTTTTAACTTTAACCCTTTAAACCCTAAGAGTGACCAGCATCAAATTTCTCCCCACAATATCAGCCCTGAATCACATGTTAAGGTCATGAGAATAAAGGAAATGATCACCAACCAAAGAGGCTTTTGATTGGTGAACAAAATCTCCTTGTCAGCACCTTAGGAAATGTATAAAGAACAGTATGGAGAATATATAGACTGATTTTAGAGTATAAAGGGTTAAGAACTTAGCAAGATGCAACTAAAAGCTTTTGTTTCTTCATGACAAGTACATGTAGTGCTTTTAAAAGTGACCAAAGTCAAGACAGACGAATTTGCACTCGTGCTACACGAGAATGCACTCGTTTTTAGCCAATCAGAAGTGCGTAATTTTTGCATGTACATTATTAACGTTCTAATATCATGAGAAAAGAGAGACCGCTGAGCAGTACCTGTACGACAAAAGAGAACTTTAAGTTTATCATTATGTCTTGTGGTGTGGTTGTGAACATGAGAACGTTTCGTGATGATTATAACCTGACAGAAACTATTTCCTGTTAATTCTGCAGTGGTTCAGATGGGTGAGGAGTATTACCACGCCAGGGATTACAGTAAAGCTTTATTGTGAGTAAAGCAGTAGAGAAAGTTTCAGTTTAGAATCAGTAGTGGTCGAGTATTGTACCATAGGCAGACCAGGCCGTTTGAAGCGTTTTTTTTAAGAAATTACTTTCGGCCGGAGGCCATTATGAGAAAGTTATTTCGTAAAAAAGGCGCCAACATACCACAAAATGAGTTGAATTACATTTCATTTAACTTTATGGAGAAAGTCAGACCGAGATGTAATTTAGGTATGCATTTTTCAGGGCTTTATTCATAACCCTCGTGGAGACTGGGTCCGCTCAAGGGGAGGGTGGATTGTATCTTCTTCCAGCAAAGACCAAAGTCATACCATTTCAACTAGTGCCCCAGCCTGAGGATGTTGGAAAACTACTTCAGGTAAAAAATACTGAAATACTTCGCCATACGAGTCTTTGCACTTATCAATAATTTCTTCGTATGAAATGATAATTGTTGAAGTCAGCTTACGAGACTAGTAGCCAAAAGAGGAAAAGCTAATGGTTTTTTACTAGAAGCTATGTTTAGAGTGTTGCTGTCAGTCCAAAGTAAGATTGCCCCCCTCCCCTGCTTCCCCGCGCTTTATCATTCCTAGGTGTAGAGTAAAGAATTTTTGTCCAAGGACATTACTCAGTGATCCCAACCCAGGGCTCAAACCCAGATCTCTCGGTGGTGTCACCGGCAAAGTCTGACAGAAAACTTTTTTCCAGAGGAGACCGCTTTAAAAGAAACTTCAGATTTATTTTTCTTCGTTGTGGTTCTTAGGTCACCTCCGTTGCTCTGGAGTTGGGGTCCCGTGAGTCTCGGTGTGCTGTACTGGTGTGGAGTGGCTGGGGAGGGGAGACTGGTAACCAAAACCTCCCTTTGTATCATATGGTTTAAAAAATCCGCCAGCAAGGAGGATCAGTTTGACTGGGATGAGTTAAAGGTCATCTCGAAAATTAAGTAAGTCATGCTTGTTTTCCATTGAATCTTTAGCTACGGAGTGGAGTAAATATGAACAATTATTAAAAGACATAGAGGTGAATTGTTGTTTCAGTTTGTACCACAGAAACTGAATAACTAGTGGTCCAAAACATTTTTAACGTATCTACCTCCCAGTTAGCCAATCAGTGCGCACAAAGAACGGTATCCACTTGAATGGTAATTAAACCCTAAGAGTGACCAGCATCAAATTTCTCCCTAAAATATCAGCCCTGAATCACATGTTAAGGTCATGAGAATAAAGGAAATGATCACCAACCAAAGAGGCTTTTGATTGGTGAACAAAATCTCCTTGTCAGCACCTTAGGAAATGTATAAAGAACAGTATGGAGAATATATAGACTGATTTTAGAGTGTAAAGGGTTAAGAACTTAGCAAGATGCAACTAAAAGCTTTTTTTGTTTCTTCATGACAATGTACATGTAGTGCTTTTAAAAGTTAACAAAGTCAAGACAGACGAATTTGCACTCGTGCTACACGAGAATGCACTCGTTTTTAGCCAATCAGAAGCGCGTAATTTTTGCATGTACATTATTAACGTTCTAATATCATGAGAAAAGAGAGACCGCTGAGCAGTACCTGTACGACAAAAGAGAACTTTAAGTTTATCATTATGTCTTGTGGTGTGGTTGCGAACATGAGAACGTTTCGTGATGATAATAACCTGACAGAAACTATTTCCTGTTAATTCTGCAGTGGTTCAGATGGGTGAGGAGTATTACCACGCCAGGGATTACAGTAAAGCTTTATTGTGAGTAAAGCAGTAGAGAAAGTTTCAGTTTAGAATCAGTAGTGGTCAAGTATTGTACCACAGGCAGACCAGGCCGTTTGAAGCGTTTTTTTTTAAGAAATTACTTTCGGCCGGAGGCCGTTATGAGAAAGTTATTTCGTAAAAAGGCGCCACAAAATGAGTTGAATTACATTTCATTTAACTTTATGGAGAAAGTCAGACCGAGATGTAATTTAGGTATGCATTTTTCAGGGCTTTATTCATAACCCTCGTAGATTTTTTTCGTCTCATGTCAACAATTAGTTAAGTAACAACAAACACAGTGTGGTCTGATTGTGATTGCACGGCCGCTCCTTTGATTGATGTTTAAAATCTAGCTTTTCGTTGTGTTTTTCACGTTACCATGTTCCTACCAATAGCTTAGCTCCAATTTTCTTTATATAAACCACACACGACTCTCAATTCCTCCATTCGCTCTAACGAAGGGCTAACGCTCGTAACGTCAGCGTTAGAAACACTATTAACGGTGGCCAATTTTCTTTATCACCTCAACTAACTTTACCGACCTCCGCCGAAGCAGCACCAAAGTGTCTTCATAAACTTACTCCATTTATTGTTGTCATTCTTTTTGTTGTTCTTTAAGGTTGTTGGGAAAAGTCACGTGGGATTACCGCACAGAAAAATGGTGGTCACTTCTCACGTCAGTTTTAATCACATCACTGAGGTACTGTTGTTTTGTAGTAAGTGAGAGAAGATTTGTACTCTCCAGCTCTTGTTTCTGAGAACTCAACATGTAAGCATTTTCAGTTGAAATAATCTGAGTTTACTTTAGTTTTGCATTACCTTGCTCTTAAATTGGTCTTGAAAACACGCGCTACCCTCTCAACCAATCAGAAGTAAAATTGAAGCCAATGGCGCCTTGGTTACGCGCGTTTTCCTGCACTTCAGGCAGGTTACTTGTTTTTTCTCTAAGTTACCCCTTGTGGTATTTACCATCACTGTGATTGGTTGTTGGGTTTACCTTGGTTGTGGTTGGCAACACGTTATTGAAAAGCCCTTAAGCGCGAGAATCAGGGATAGTATGTCGATGTTGGTGGAAGTTTGGCTCATTTACAATGCGGACACAACCAACTCGGACAGACAGAATAATTCCACGTCTGTTCAGTTGGACTGCTACAATGCCAAAAATCAAAGTTGGTCTTCTTTTTTCCATGTCAAATTATTGTCAAGGGGTTGTTTATGAATAGCAACTTTGGGGGTAGAACATTCAAAACAGCTTTTCTCAACTTCAAATTTAGATTTATTTATTTTTACATCCATTGTCTACTTAACTCTTATGACAGGTGTGCATACTTGGTTGGCAATGTGGAGGAATATATCACCCTTTCGCTTGAATTGACAGGAAGATGTATCCTTGAAAATATTGCCTATCATCTGAATAACTGAATGTAGCATTTTTTTTTTGATGAAAAGATTCTCTTAGTTAGAGTTATTTTCAATGCAAAGTGATCTGGGATTGCATTGGTTTAACTTAGCTTCGTAATGTGATTGGTCAAGAAAACTCGGGCCACTTTCTCCACCAATCAGATGTAAAACTAAAACCAACCACGACTTGGTCACCCGCTTTTTCCCGCGCTTCAGGCAGGGTGCCTGTTTATGCTTTGAGTTCTTATTGATTCTTCATGCTAGTCACTCTTAGGGGTTAAAGGGTTAAAGTGATTTCCAAGTCAGGTGGAAAGGCTGAAAAGCGCCTTCAAAACGCAAGGTACTCTACGGTAACCAACTAGTAAGGTTGCAAAATTTGGGAATTTTAGAATAATATCAATTGACTATTGTAGTCGTATTAAGCTGAACAGATTTTCTCTAAGTCAAATCCATCTCGTTGTAAAAGTGAAACATCATACCCAATATGTGATATTGTATTGGTGATAGAGTCCTTGATTCAAGAAAAAATCAGATGTTGAAAATTCACCAGAGGAGAAAACAAGATGTCAAACTAATCTTATTCACGTCATGTCGGTAAGGACTTATTTCAAATGGTCGTTTAAAGAGGATTTCTGGAAGAACATTTATTGTAGAATGAGTTTACGCTGAGTTTCTCTGTTTTTGTCATCTACGACCCTGACACTGGTGATTTAAACATAGAAAGCGCGCGCGCGCCTGAACGCGAGTTAAACGCGTGGGAAAGAGAGTTTCTTTGCTTTTCTTTTCTTTCTTTTTGGCTGGTCTTTCGCGCGTAGATAACTCGCGTTTTCGCCGAGCGCTTCTTACAGGACAAGCATGTTACGAAAAACAACTGAATTCTTATCGCTGTATCATTTCTTATTTTTCATTGGAATTACAAACAGAATGAATGTCCTGAGCCCGAGCCAGGCTGTGACTTTGAAGCAGTGGAAGAAGCTAAGGAGCTATGGAAAACACTTAAAGTGACACCACAGGCACCCCAAGTATTTACCATACAGATGGAACAAATAGCACCATTTGGTGAGAAAATGTCAACTCTATTGTGTATTTTTTCTCTTTGCGCTGATATCATTTCACAATTTACAGAGGCAGAAACTGAATTTGGCTGTAGAAACTGCTAAATTCAATTTCCAAATACAGCAAATAAAATCTTGCAGGGTAGGAAAAAACTCTTCTTTAATACCCTTTGAAACCAAGGCTTGATAAGGTGACGGGTAAAATCTTTAAACTCAAAATATTAATGAGTGAATGAATTTATTTTATTTGTCTTATGCAAAGGAGTGTGTGATATTTTAATATTTCCTGTTGTTTTCAATTTTGTTCTTTCTCCAGTGGAATGTAAGCTAGTCTTTGATTTAGTTTCAACAACAGCAGATTCTACCATCCTTCTTCAAATTTACTTAAGGTTTGTAAAGTCCTCTTAGAGTCGCTTAATCCAAAACAGCTTTCACCCTTAACTTTCAAGATCTAATTAATTCTCCAAACCAATGACAGATTTTTCTTTTGATGGTGAGTCATGAGAATTTCGTTTTATACGTGACAAACAGATTCCATGATGCCGTGTGTCTGTTCATTAACAGATCACAGACGACGTCAAAATGTTGAAATAACAAAAAAGTGATACATTTTCACGTCTGCACTGAAATTATTTAGCTCTGCTATACATGGTAACGATTCGGTGATTCTTTGTGAGCGTTATGAAGTACGCGATCTGACCCCAAACCTCTCTGGTTTTCACTCTGCTGCTACTGTCGCGCTTTATAGCGTTTTACCCTCTGAACGCATGGAAAGAGAGTTTGGTGTTATATTTGACAAACAGGTTCCATGATGCCGTACGTCTGTTCCATAATAGATCACAGACGACCTTAAAATGTTGGAAAGAACCAAAAAGTGATGCATTCTGATGTCATCTGTGATTTATTATTAAACAGACGCACCGTAACATGTCGTCGCTTTCTTGAATATCCCTTGATGGATCATTTTCAGTTCTTAATTCTCGTAAACTTTCTGTTTTACATATTATTAAAGTATGGAGAATTTAAGTTCTGATTACTCGTGGGAAGAATATGGTTAAGAGGAAGCTTTTAAGAGACCACAACCTTGGTTCAAAACTGTCAGCACTGAAGTTATTTAGCTCTGTTATGCATGGTGACGATTCGGTGATTCTTCGAGAGCACTTTTTGATTGAGTGTTGTAAAGCAACCTAAAATAACCACAACGGTCACTCAGGACAAAAGAAAATATCACGAGAAGTTTATGAAAACTCAGCGTACAAACAAACTGCCATTGAGCGCGGGAAAAGGCGGGAGATTGGTCGAGAGAGTGGCTCGACTTTTCAAGACCGATCTTTGACCGTAACGAAGAAAAACTGATGTAGTCTCGGATTACCATTGACAATCAATTAAAAGTTGTTCTAAGTAAAGGTCTAAACACTCGTTATTGTTGTGTGTTGTTATATTTCAGGGTTTCTTGCCCATTTCCCCTCCGATTCTCGAAGATTGCCGTTTTCTTCAGCAATCAGGTAAGTTAAAATATTCCTATATACGTAAGACTAGTGTTACTTTGTTTCGCCAAAATATGAAAGCACAGTTTAGTCTCGCGCTTACAATAGCAAGGTAACTACCACAGCTAACTGGAACGAAGGTCGACCATAAAATGCACCAAGGAGAACTAAAATCAAACAATTGTGTGCAACAGTAAGTGTAGGAAAACGCGGATAATAAAAGCACGATTGGTTTGGTTTTGCATATGGCGTTGAGCTGATGTCTCATTGTCTATGATCTTGAAGGCGTCAAAAGTGAAATGTAATCATTTGTGGTCACTTTGGATGTGGATCGCAATGTTTCGACTGCATACTGCCAGTCTTCCTTGGGCGATGAGGTCGATCGAGTACACGTCACTAATATGCTCTTGTGCTCAGCTGTGATTGGAATTTCACGGCTGTGATTGAATGCTTGGAACAGGCTAATTTCGTGTCTGCTTGCCTGTAATCATGCCATGACACTCTGGATGCTAGTTTGGTTGCATTTTCTACTGGCCTGACTCAATTTTCTGTTATCTTTTATCTTAGTTTTATAACCAACAGTGTGTTGTGGAGACTGGTTCCGCTCAAGGGGAGTGTGGACTGTATCTTCTTCCAGCAAAGACCAAAGTCATACCATTTCAACTAGTGCCCTAGCCTGAGGATGTTGGAAAACTACTTCAGGTAAAAAATTACTGAAATACTTCGCCATACGAGTCTTTGCACTTATCAATAATTTATTCGTATGAAATGATAATTTTCGCAGTCAGCTTACGAGACTAACAGCCTAAAGAGGAAAAGCTAATGGTCTTTTACTAGAAACTATCTTAAGAGTATTGCTGCCAGTCCAAAGTAAGATTGCCCCCCTCCCCCCGCTTCCCGCACTTTATCATTCCTAGGTGTAGAGTAAAGAATTTTTGCCCAAGAACATTACTCAGTGATCCCAACCCAGGGCTCAAAGCCAGATCTCTCGGTAGTGTCACCGGCAAAGTTTGACAGAAAACTTTTTTCCGGAGGAGACTGCTTTAAAAGAGACTTCAGATTTAAGCTTTCTTCGTTGTGGTTCCTAGGTCACCTCCGTTGCTCTGGAGTTGGGGTCCCATGTCTCGGTATGCTGTACTGGTGTTGAGTAGCTGGGGAGGGGAGACTGGTAACCAAAGCCTCTCCTTTGTGTCATACGGCTTAAAATCCGCTAGCAAGGAGGATCAGTTTGACTGGGATGATTTGAAGGTCATCTCGAAAAATTAAGTAAGTCATGCTTGTTTTCCATTGAATCTTTAGCTACGGAGTGGTGTAAATATGAACAATTATTAACAGACATAGAGGTGAATTGTTGTTTCAGTTTGTACCACACAAACTGAATAATTAGTGGTCCAAAACATTTTTAACGTATCTACCTCCCAGTTAGCCAATCAGCGCGCGCAAAGAACGGTATCCACTTGAATGGTAATTGCTTACAGGTTTGAATCACATGGCACTGAGAGTTCTTCGGGAAGTAATTAGTCAAATGAATAATTACGACCCCAGAAAGCTGGAATTTATTGTTGATATATGTTCCCTTCGCGAACTCTTTACGCCAGAATTGAACCGCGCAAGCCTAGAGTTAATATCACACTGAAGCACGAACCACCCGCCCTCGTAAACGAGCTTTATAAACTTCAGCTGGTTGTTGAGAGTTTGGAAGATACACCGCTGAAAGACGTCAGGTATGCCTTTTTAGTGTGTTTTTATCTAAGTGTTGAAAAAGAACGTGAACCAGTTCTCTCCTCTCCTACCGTCATTTGAAAGTAATGCAACATGTCTTTGCCTTTCTCTCATTTTCGCGCTTTTGTCAATCTTCGTGAACCTAACTCCTCTTTCAAGCGTTACAATAACAATTAATGCCTTTTTTTAGAGTATGGCTTGGATTTCAGGACGAGCAGGAATCTCCCGAAAGAGGTGAGTGTTTTAAAACAACAACGTCTTCCCAAATGTTATATCGTCATATGTCAATAAAGATATTCAATCTGAGAGAGCCTGGGTATTTTCCTGTGTCGGAAGATTAGAGCGTTAAAGTGCTTTTTGATTTAGCGTCGTAAACCAAAACCACAGGAATCACAACAGCCAATCGGAAGAAAGGAAAATAACTTTAAGAGCCAATTAGAGTTCAAGGTAAAACCGAAGTTTTACATCTGATTGGTGGAGAGAGAGGCGCTAGTTTACTAGACCAATCACACAGCGAAGTTAAGCGAAATCAATGAAATCTTTGTTTACTTTTAACACTCAATTGAAAACTGCTCCAAATTGCATTCATAATTTAACCGATTAAAATTTAATTTTTGTTGATGTTTTTCGTTCAAAATGTTAAGTTTCTGTTAATTGTATTTCCAGGCGCTTTGATATACTCAGAAGTACCCGCAGCAGATAAGACTGAGAGAGATGCAACGAACTTTTTGGAATTTACTGTGGATGGAATGACTGATAAGGTATGATAGGTTGTATAAAAGATGATACTTGGCCGTGCATGGCTACGAATTTAATCTTCGACCCTTGCGTCTCTACCTTTAACCAAGAAGCTATGCATTTCAGAGCGAAATTTGATTTGCGACACGTGAGATTTGTGTACAGAAAACTTTGATGGTGGTGGTGAATTTATTGTTTTGTTCACATTGAGAACCTCATGACACGCTGAATTTTTATCCTTTTAGACGTTTTGGTGTGTAGTATGGCTGTAATTTTTACGATGTTGCCGTATTTTGACAACCGATTCAAATTTGAAACCAACGAATGAAAATACTCAATGATACTATACACCAAAACTTCTAATAAGTTATTCGTTATCCAACTGATTTATTTATACGAAAATGTCGTCTTTTCTTTTCTCCAATAAGCCAACTCACGCAAAGCATAGCCAACCTGTCAAAAAGGTTTTTTTTTTTTTTTTTCTTTCTTATTCTATTTACAAAACATGACGCCAACGACATTGCTGATCCTAGCAGTATGCAGGACGTGTGTCATATATGAGCTTCGTAAAGGGAATTGCTTACCATAGGGTCTCTGTGACTCAGTGGTAAAGCATCGAAGCGCGGAATCCGAAGGTTTGAGGTTTGATTCCTCATGGAGAATGTTTTCTTTGTCCTACGTTCGAGACGAGACGAAAAACACCTTTCTCTTTTTCTTTACCGATCTTAAAAATAACCGTCTTTTTAATCTATTTACAAGGTTTTTTTTGCAGTACAAAGTAACCAACTGTCGAAATAACCGTACAATATCGAGGGTAATTTGTACTCGTTGCGCGCGTTATTTCTTTTTGATATTCTATGTAGTGCTGTGGGATAAAAAACGTACCTTTACTTCGTTTGTCTGGTGTGCAGGAAAATAAGGCTTTAACGCTAATAAACCACCCTAATTCACGTCTTGCATATTGTCAATGTGTCCCTTTCGTCTTTTCTTTCTAGATCGAGAGGTCGTACTTCGTCAAATGCTCTTAAGTAGGATCGCGGACTGTAACAGCAAAGGTATAATACTTAAGTAAGCTATAATTGTACCTTTAATCACAATTCTTTGGGCGTCTATTTAGAGACCTCAAGTCAAATTGTCGTGCAATAGGTAGCCTGCAGAAGAGGCGTTTTTAAGGCGAACGAGGATTAGAGAAAGGGGAGGAGTGCCTTATTTTTCCCCGCCTTTCCCTCGTACGTCACTTCCGCTTGCCTCCGTTCGCCCTATTGTGCTTGTTCTGCGGGCTATGCGTTCCGTTCAGTACGTAGTTAATAGATCTCTATACAATACCTTTAGATACGCAATATTTTGGTATGTTCTTACTCTCTTAGGATCGAGTTTCAAGTTACGATATCTTGCATTCTTTGAAAAGATTCCTATCAGTGCTTAATCATCCTAATCATTTCCTTATTTTTTTATTTATTTATTTTTTTATGCAGATTATCTATACTGTAGATGTCCAAGTTGAACCAAATTCTTCGCCAGTCACCTGTACCTGTGCCAAGGTGAGATCACCCTTTTGTGTCTTAAAAGTAAAAGTAAAACTACCTCTCAGTATTTCCACATTTAATTTTAATTCTCGTTGGCTTTGTAATGTAGTTGCACTTGTGAATGTGAGTTGCACTTGTAACATGGAGCGCTTTTCGGTTGACTGTCATAAAACCAAAACCAAAGCAATCACAACGGCTAATCAGAAGAAAGGAAAATAACTGAAAGAGCCAATGAGAACTCAAAAGAAAAACAACAATACCCAAAGGGCGGGAAAACGTGGCTTTAGTATTGCATCTGATTGGTTTAGAAAGTGGCGCGAGTTTTCTGGACCAATGATAGAACGCAAGTAATCTCAGATTTCTTTCGACACGCAATTAAAAAATCCTCTACCTGGTGAATACAAAATCACGACGACTTTTTGCTTTCTTCTTTCTCTACTGTCCTGACTTATACCCGCCCTAGGAGGAAAGTGTTGTTATCAAGACTGTTATGCCATTTGAAATCTCTTTGTCTCTGACAGGTAAGGGAAAATAGGCAATATTTTTTACGATGTAATTTTACGTCTCTTGGAATCGATCAAACTTGCGTTTTTGGCTATGTTAGCAAACTCGCTCTCGCTCTTGTCTCAAATTTTTTTTATTACATTGAAAGTTATGGCATAAATTAATGCATCTATAAATCCGTCAAAAATTTTTGATCGCTGCATAACTCTACGAATATAAACCTGGTCTGGTGCATCAAGAAACACTTTCTGACTAACACGCATCTGAATGAGGGTGCTGTGGTTTGAATTGATGATTAGCGCTAAGTTGTCTTTTACCACGCGATGAAAATTCAATTGTAAGGTTCCTATACAAAGTAACGCAGTGTCTAGGCTAGTAAATGGGGACCTCAGGCAGTCAGGAAGGCAACGCCGCAGTAAACGATGGTTTAAAAATGAATTTATAATTTCGCGAATGGCTAAATGCGTTTACTGCTTCTTGTAGCGCCACACGTCAACCGCAGCTTAACGTATGGCAGCAGCGTTGAGTTCCAAACGGGCGCTTAGATAGTTTGCCATCGGGTTTTCCGTTCACAGACCACACAAATTTGGTTGATTTCAAGTTGTTGTTTTGCAAAAAACGGGTAAGAAATGTACAAAGTTTTGAAATGCACGTGCCGATCAATTGTTCTGAAGATTAGATATTTTGTTTTGTTATGCCCTCGTTGTCGTCGTCGTGGTTTGCTTTTGTTTTGTTTTGTTTGTTTGTTTTTTATGAGGGGGGTGGGGGGTGTAAGCCAAAGCAATGTAATGAGTTCAAATCATTGATTTGCGTTCATTCTCAGTTGGAGAGACTGGATCAGCTGTTCGAAGAAGAACCATTCCTCTTATTAGCTGGCATCAAATGCACCTCACCTTGGCCTGTTACCATGGTCACCACTACATTGAATATGGTGAGTTTACAAACAATTTATGTTCGTAAAAACTTGATTTGTCTTCCTTTAGAAAATATAGTCGTGAAGATAAGTTAATGGAGCAGGAGAGCAAGTGCTGCAAGATATTGGGTGCGGTGGGGTGGGTCGGAGCGAAATCTCCGATTAAGTGGAAGAGTTAATCTCTGGGTTCACTTAGTATCCCCTCCCCCGAGTCAAGCTGGGATTGTATATATACTACAGCTTTCGTGCGTGTGTCGGAACCGCGCGAAAATAATATGTCATGAATTATTTTTCAACCTTTGGATAAGATGACATGTCTCGAATTGATCTTCTCAAACTTACTGCAATTTAACTCTTTGAAGAAAAAGTAGCCTGAGAAATTCAGGTTTTATCGAGGATTGACAAGGAACCTATATCTTCTTGAGAATAGTCGGTTCCTACTTTCAACTGTGCTTCGAATTAGAAGCAGAAATTCTGGAGAACTGTTTGTTTGTTTGTTTGTTTGATTTCAGTCTCCAGAAGTGAATATTGTGGGCGAAGAGATGGGATCGCAGCTGCAAGGAAGTAAGGAATACATGTCTGTGTATTACGAGAATAACCGATCGGAATTAGTTAAAGATGCGTCTACTTGCATTGCTGTCCCCAAAAAAACTGTGAGATTCTCGTCGTTAGAGTGGATTAGGCTTCTTTATAACTAATCGCCGAACATTTGGGGAAACTAGAAAAGGTTGAGCTTTTTTTTGGACCAATTGAAGGAGGGGGGAATCAGCAGGGGAAGACAAGGGAATTTTCCTGAGGAGCTTCAAGGCTTTCAAGGCCCCCTTCTCATACTAGACAAGGTTGAGCGATTTTGTAGATTAATGGAGAGAGGGGGTGGGGGAAATGTGCATGGGAATACGAGGAGAATTTTGTTGAGGTGTTTTCAAGGCCCCTCCTAATTAAATACACACCAGACAAGGTTGAGCGATTTTGTAGTCCAATGGAGAGAGGGGGGGGATCTGCATGGGAATACGAGGAAATGTTGAGGCGTTTTCAAGGCCCCTCTTAATTAAAGACATACTAGACAAGGTTGAGCGATTTTGTAGATCAATGGAGAGAGGGGGTAAGAATTTGCATGGGAATACGAGGTGTATTTTGTTGAGGAGTTTTCAAGGCCCCTTTTCATATGAACATACAGCTTTGCGTTATGTGTCCTTATATACAAATTGCGGGTGCAAGATTTCTTGTGAAAAACTGACAATTATTCCCGACGTGCTAGCTGTTTTCTTTTTCTCCTTCTAACTTCATGTATGTTGGTCCCAGTCTCTTTGCAACAGGGTGAAAGTGCGTCGGAATGCTACTGCTTAGCTGTTAAAGAGGGTGTCAGTAAACTGAAGGTCGTGAACATTGGAAGTCTTGCCCTCCAGTGGAGACGGTAAGTTCGTGGTTAACTCGAGGGAGTCTAAGATAAGTGAGATAGTTGAAGCAATTTTCAATTGAGTACCGATTGTAATACCGAACTGCATTCAAAATTTGGTCTTGCCTTCCTTTGCTTTGTGATTGGAGTAGGAAAGTTGCACAACTCTCTCTTTCTGTCAACCAATCATGAAATGCAAAGTTTAAACCAGTGGCGACTTGGCTATCTGCGTTTTCCCGCGCTTCAGGCAGTTTGCTTGATTTTTCTTCGTGCTCTCATCGGTCCTGATGAACCAATTTTATTACTTTGGTTTTGTGGTTTTTGCCAACACTCAGTGGACCCACTGATGCCTTTTCAACTGAACCTTATTTAGGGGAATATATAGAAGTCCTTTCGTTTCTTGATTTAATCATTTTACATTGTTTTAATTCTTTAGAACTTCTGCGGCTGATAAGTTTCCAGTTGTGGTCACAGAGCTCACTTTCCCCTCTGTAACAGTAGAGAGTGTTCCTTTTGCGATACAGGCAGGTACGTTTCCAGCAAGGTTAATCATACGGCAATATGCCAAGCGTCAAAATCAAACCATACTGGAAAAGGTTTATTCGTGCTTCTCCACCTTTGTGCAGGCAAAGTTTTCCAGATGTGAGTTTATGTTTCAACTACAAGTTCAGTAGTGTTCTTAGCTGCGAGGATCTCTTAAATTCGTTTTCACCGCAATGCAAATGTATGAATTTCATATATCTAAAATCATTATTCATCACTTGGATGGTTAATTTGGACCCAGCATATTGACCAGCTCCCAGTTGGCTTGTTAACTCAGTTGGTAGAGCGCTGCACTGGTATTGCAAAGGTCATGGGTTCAAATCCCGTACGGGCCCGAAATTTCAGGTCCTATTTTCAACTACTATTTCAGTAGTGTTGTTAGCTGCGAGGATCTCTTAAATTCGTCCAAATGTGTTACAACTATCAGTCTTACAGTCAATTTGGTGAAATTCCGGGCCAATTGGCATAAACACGATAAAGTCGATAAGGTTGTGCGAAAGCACTCTTACTGCGCGTTTTACAGGGTTTCAAATTGTTCAAGAGATGAGGAAACCTCACACGCACTAGGAAAAGCCACTCATAAGAAAACGTGGTTAAACTCAGTGTTAATAAATGTATAGAGGGGGTACGTTTTTAAACATAATTTGGTGCTACGTCAGTGGGGGTATTGAACAATAGTCATGTTTTATTAACAAAGTTAATAAAAGAAATTGGTCCCTGTAAAGAGTTTCTCAAGCGGACCTCTCGAGCGTCAGCCCTACGTCGATACTTCAGCTGTAGAAATCTTTTACGGTGGCCAATTTACATTATCACTTCAGTTGATAAAACCAAATTATCTTTGAATATATGTATTTGTTAATGAATAGAAAAGGAAAGACGGTAAATTTAAAGCTCCGTAATAAAGTAAAGAAAGATATTTTTTCTTCGTCATACAAGCGTGGGACAAGGGAAAAGTAAAGCTTGCCATTCGAGAGCGGAAGTCGAAATTCTGGGGCTCTAATCCTCATGGAGGCACGACCTTGTTACAAGACCAAAGAAAAAAAATTTATTTATTGTACCGTTTTTTTCAGATTTGCCTGCATACGGCTGTGTACAGAGCCCACTTTTCGTAAGCTATCTCGTCCGCAATAGAACGCTTTTTGACTCTTCCCAAGCTGCATTTCAAACTGCCTCGCTTTCAGGTTAGCTGAGATGAACATGCGCAGAAATTGGTTCCGACCAATGTTTTTATAAAGGTAAGAAACTTTTTTTATGTCCAAACGTGAAAAAATGCAAATATTTTGCAACGCGTTGGCAGAACATCGGATAACGCTCAATTTGGTTGGTTTTATTTATTAACACAATCATCAGAAGATGTTTCTACGCTCTAATTCGGTTCACTAAATTAGTTATAAATTATTCAAGTGTTTGACTACCGTAAAGTTTACGATCCAAATCGCCATACTGGCTTCTCGCTGAAAGGCTGTATCCTTTAACCCTTTCACTCCCAAGATATTTTTATTAACTCTCCTTACTGTCTGTCTTACGATTCTTTAGATGTTAGTTCGGAGAATTTGTTGATGGATCAACTGATAATCCCCTAGTTGATTTTTTTTTTTTACTCTCATAACTTTTCTGCTTTATATTGTTTTGATATTGTAAGGAGAAATTCTGTCTTAAGTCACTTATGAGGACTTCCTAACTTGAAAGTGGATGTGAATTCTCAGGCCCGGTGGCCGTATTTGCAAAACCTTTACGGCCCTGAAACGGAAAAACAAAACAACAAAATAAACAGCTGCAGTAACCTTGTTGGAAGGGATGGCTGTGTAATGTGTTATTACACAGCGTGGACCGACTGTCTGAACAAATTACACATACCAAAAATTTCTTGGTTATCAGTTTTAAAAGTTAGCACGTAGGATATCCTTGCGAAAACAGGTCTAGAAGTTTTTAGTACAACTAGCGACTGGAATACCAGTGATTAGTCATAAAATGGATTAGTCACAAGTTTTAAAAGTTAGCATGTAGGATATATATGCAAAATCAGGTATAGAAGTGTTTACCATAATCAGAAACTGGAAATCCATTGGAAAACTCATTTATAACGTGTCTGTTATCACACAGCCTCGAGGCCGGGAATTGGAATCTGAGAAGAAGCCTGGTTACGAGTACTAAAGATAGCTAATGGAACAGTGGAGACTGGAGGCAAACTTTCCAGTTATAGTCACAATAGGATTTTAAGCAGCAAAGTGATGCAGCGGAGATTTGAACCGCTGTAAACTGCCAGCCACATGAAGGAAATTCTTTAGTGGGGGCTTTTGTCCACTGGCTGGTGAATTGCAGGATGTTTAAGGCCAAACAACTCTGTGGTTAACAGATACGCTTATGTGTTTTTGCGCGCATGTCGTATCGATATCACGTAGAATCAGTTGCACTACTTCCTTTGGGTGGATTAAGAAATTAAGGGTAGTGCTACTACATAGAACGACGACTTGCCCTGAGATATTTGCTCCGTTTGTGAGTTTCTCTCTCTTGTTGACTTGGAGTGACATGTTTCCAGTTTTGTTCATATTTAACCCTTGAAATTTCGTATAGAACGCTTTTTGACAAAGTGTCGTAAAACTGAAATCAAAGTAATCCCAACAGCCAATCAAAAGAAAGAAAATACTTTGAAGAGCCAAGTTCTAGTTCACAGACAAAATATGGAAACTTCAGCTGAAATATTTTTCATACCAGCGTGATCAGAGGAGACCCTGCTCTTCGACCTTAATTTGCATATCAAAAATTCACTACTTTGTACGAAAGAATTCTAAAAATGCAGGCGTTAATCGGGCCGAAAAAGCATATCAGTGCATAGTTTATACACCAATGAGGTCACGGATTGCCTCAAATCCGCGGGTATATCTCTAGTTTCCATCCACCAACTTCTTAAAAACAACGCAAATCCATGTGTTTGCTCAATTGCGCTTGTGTCAAAGATCATTCGCATGATTCTTGGAATTGACCAAGATCTCCTTTTGGCAGTTCAGACTTCGTTCGTTTATCTTCTACGTTGAGGATTTTAGGTTTTCACTGCAACTGAATGGAGATTAGATGCCGAGTTGTCCTAAAACGTTGCGTAAACGTTATCGGTCGTGACGCTTGCGCGCTTGCGTGACTTACAAAGTAGACAAAGGTGATAGGAAGGCCTCCTCGATAATTTACGTTGAAATATCAGGTCATGGATTATGCAGTGTGGAGAAGATCAAAATTAAAGAATAAAATTTGGCACTCTGGTCATAACAGACATATCGCGTTGCTTGAAAGGACAAAAACAAGTTAAAATAGGTTGCAGTGTTTATATTTACAAAACAACACGCATACACTCTGAAATAATTCTTGCAGATTCTTCCGAGATTTAGTATACGGAACCCGATGAACTAACCCTCCTTTCCGCAGATTTGTTTCCATCACTAATGATGTTACGCTCTTATGGACCACAACGGTTTTGAGCGACAAACTCGACATTTCCCTGCGACCATCAAAATCAACTGGACAAACTCAGCTTCATATATTGCGTGACGTAATTGTGCAAATTTTTCCCCTTGCCATATGGCCTGTTTTGCGGGTTCTACAAATTGAAACCAAAATTAGTTAGTGTTACAAA